TTCTAACTCTGAAAGCAACGTGCTTATCAGCTGCTTGTATGTAGTGTCCAGGATGGAAGGAAGGCTTCCTCGGGCTCCCCTCCAGCCCTGGGTGCCTCCCAGCCTTCTGACGGGGCTGAGGAGGTTGACCCTCCCCAGGGATCCCCTCCTGCTGCGCCAAGGCGGGGACAGCAGAACTGGGGGGTGCATGGGGACTGGCTCCATCTTGTCATCGAGTGCCTCGGGAGAGGGGGAAGCACCCACGGCAGCGTGAGGCGGGTCAACGACGCACCCAACAATGGGCCCAATGACAGGCAAGGTGTCTCTTCGGTCTTTGATCTGCTGAGCCCCGCTCGGGTGCCATGCAGTTAAGAAAAAAAAAAAAAAAAAAAAGAAAGTTCTGCTAGGTTCTTGCATTGTTTTCTGCCTCCAGGCTTCCTTTTCTGGGGCCACCTTTTGCTGAAGGATTACACTGCTGAAAAAGTAGAGATGCTAACAGATTTTTTCCACACTTGTCAGCAAAATCACAGCTAGCTAACGGGAAGGCACCATGTGACATCCTTTTCTACATACATAAAGAAGTAGCTTCTGCAATTTCAGAAATATGTTCTAAGCTTTTTCAATGAAATAGGAAACCCAGATAAGTCCTGTTCTGCTTCAAAATATATTGCTTGGTAAATGGGCAAGCCATATGAATATGACTTTGATCAAACAACTATAAATATATACATCTTTCAGAGAACAGCTTGTGACATAGGTGTGTATAGATACATGCTTGTTAAATTATGAGAGAATGGAGACACTGTCACAGTTGGTATTTTCTAAGAGGAATCCCCAAAGAGCCTTTTTGTGAGTGTAATTCTGATCTAGGCCAGTGAGAAACAAAGAGAGAAAGGTGAGCATTTTTTTCATCCATTTCTTCTGTAGGCTGCTTAATAGTTGAATTAGGTGAGAAAGCAATGAAAACATAGTGTAAAGGAGAAGGTGGGTTTAATAGCTGTCAGATATCAATATGATGGGGAAAAAAAAAAAAAGTAAAAATTAACATTTTTAATGTGGAATGAACAACTCAGAAACAAATAAATTTATCAATGGAAGAAGATGCAGTTATACTTTCATCTTTTGATCAGTGCATTGATACATGGATTTTGTTCCCATAAATTTTCTGCAAGTATTTTCTCACTTTCATATGGAAAGTAAGGTGCAAGGAAGTTAAGTAAATAGTCTGTGGTCAAAAATGGTTTTGGATTAGTTGGTATCAAGACTCAAGTTCTCTTAAACCTGGTGATGGCTTTATTCCTCACAAATCAAACATCCTGAAAGAGAAAGGTACTGTTCCTCAAAGAAACTTTGGTCACTGTAAAGCAGTTCCAGGTGTTCTCAGAGATTCATCCCTCATCCTTCTGAGATAAGGACTCCCCCGTTCCTTCCTGCTTTTATCCCCAGAGGTATTAAAAAGAAGCGTAGAGGTATCATTTAGGGACATGGTTTAGTGGATGAGTTGGCAGCATTAGGTTTATGGTTGGATGCGATGATCTTAAGGGTCTTTTCCAACCTAAATAATTAAAAATATTTAGTGACAGAAAGTCATCACCACATGCAAAACCATGGTTGGTATGTTCTGAAGCAGGGGAATGCACAGCAGGTAGTCCACATCTAATCTGGACTCTAGTGTCCTTGATTTGTGGTATTAAGCATGTCATCCCACCTCTGCACCTTACTTCCTCATGAGCAAATTGGAGATGGTAACTCATTAGGAATGAGCCTCAGCTGAGAATTGTTGTCTCCTCTGTTTGCTTTATGCATGACAATGACTTTGCAACTGGAGGAAGCATTCATTTGACATCAAGCCACAAACTTTCAATCTGCCTTCTGAATAAATTACTATTGTGCATTTTCAGCTTCCCAGATTATTTGTCAAGCGTATTTCCAGCCTTCTGAAGTTGTCAAAGGATGCAGATAAATATACTTATTTCCTTTAACACTGATATTCTCCTAGTAAAGAGGACTACTAGCAAGTCATATTATTTGGAAGGCAGGTGAGCAGATGTGTTGGCTGGAAAGGTGACCAGAAACACCGACTGGGGGCTAGTGCTTTACTGGAAATACTGGAAAAGTTTAACTTCAATTAATTTTCCTTAGGGTTTTCTTAGGAGAAAACCTCTTACAGGATTTGTTGGCTCAGAAGTGCTCTCGTGCAAGAGACAGCACGGCCCAAGTTGCCTTCTGGACTTGTTATTCAAAACCCTTTACTACTAGTAGCAGAATGAAACTCTTAATATTTATTTTCCTAGCAAACAAACCAGTTGCTAGCCCTACCTACTTAGTTGCTTTGCAATGATACTTGTAGTCGCTTCTTTTACACTCCAGCAGCCTGTTAAACTTGACAATCAATCGTTTTACACTGCAAACAGCCACCATCCCATGACATATATGGATCTGTAGTAAGCATAGCTTGAAGCCTTTCTAATTTTAGCTTGTTTCAGTATATTAGAAGTTTCTAGCATCAGTCATCCAAGGAAAATACTTTACATCTCAAAGCATCACAAAAAGCAGCATGCTGTTCTGTTCTTAACTGGGGTGCAGCAGAATGATTTTGCACCCGCAGTTCCCTGAAGCATGTCAAATGCCATGTACTGGGCACACCCTATCAAGCAACTGCAGTTGCTTTCTCCCAGTAAAATATAAATGATCTAAAAATGCAGACAATATGCCTTCAAATGCATTTAACTCAATAGATCACATATTTGTGCTACTGATTTTCATTCAGTTGTAGTTAGAAAAGACTTAATTCTTTCCCTTGTTGCACTAAATTACTGCAGAAATTTTAAGCTTATGTAAGAAGAATTGGCATTATGGCTAAAATCACCAAGCAGCAGTCAGCTTTCAGTTTATCCATTGCATACTCACAGCCTCCTTTTCGCCTGGCAGAAAAGATGATCAGCACGTGCTGAAGAGCACTGTCCCAAGGGATGCCCCAACGAGCTGTGTTGCGAGCACAACCGTCTGCTATCCCGTTTGCTTTTTGGCTACACACTGAGCACAACCACAGTCTCCAGCTGAAGACCAGGGCAGTGCGTCACTCCTGTACAGGAGGCTTAGCATTCCTCACATTCCCTGACGGGCTTTCCAGATTATGCCCTCTCGAGAAGATGGTTGCCATATTTCTGCCTTAACGAGTAACACCTGAATATGCAAGGTGTGGTGCTTTTGTTCCAAGCCCAAAGCCTGTGGCCCTGACTGATGTACCGAGTTCTTTGTTCGGCACATCAGCAGGGGGAAAAGTGGAGCCCGTAGTTCATCACCCGTGCGAAGCCTGGGCAGCCCGGGGGTACCTCAAGGTTACCACGAGCGTGCCAGATGTTGCACAAGACACTCTCACTACGTTGGATTTACCACATTTCCAGAGTGATTAACAGCTCTGTTTTCATTTTGTTTACCATACTACCCAAAGTCCAGCCTTTTGCTCAAAACTACTGTAGCAATGACTGGCACCCCATTTGGCTGGCAGAGAGGCGGGGAACATTTTCCCCAGGGAGAGTAATCACCTGTAGGACACGAGAAATGGTCAGATCAGTGGTTCACCTAACCTGGTACTCGGTCTTTGGAAGTGGAGCTGGGCAATGCTATTTAGGGACAGCAAGTCTGCTGTATACAATTTCTTCTGCCGCAGACCCCAGCACCCACAATTCATTGGATCAGGGATATTGGTGGACACATCCCAGGCTGTAGGATCCACTTAGGAGCCCCCTGTTCCTGACATTGCCCGATACCTTCTTGGGCCTGTTGACATTGTCAGTGTCCGTAACATTCTGGGACAACAAATTCCAGAAGTTCCCGACCCACTGTATGAAAAAGTGCTCTCTTTTACCTCTTTTAAGCCCATCTACTAATTTCATTGTGTATACTAACTACATATACTAATTTTCATTATAGTATTGCAGGATTTTTTGACTAACTGTTCTGCATTCATCTTATTCACTGCTTTTACGATTTTTTAAAATGCCTTGGCTTCCTCTCCAAATTGAAGAGTTCTTTCAGTCTCCTCAGGGAGCAGCAGTTTCATCCTCTCTAACTGCTGTTTGATCTGTACCTCTTCTTACTCCACTGCATCTTCCCTGAGACCAGACTGCCCAAAGTGCTCTAGATGCCAGCTCAGCAAGGCTCTATATGGCAGCAAAGTCAGGCCATCTTGGTGGTGCCCAGCATTTTCCTGGGTCTTGGCTGCTGCTGCGTGTTGAGCTGATAATTTTGGTGAGCTGTAAGTGAGGACTCTGAGGTCCTTCCCTCCGCTGGACCTGCCAGCTCTGAGCTCAGCATCACCTAGGAGTGTAAGAACAGTGCAGAAAGAGAGCTCTGCCTCCCCATCCATCCCCTTCCAACAACTGCAACTCTAGATGTATCCTGAATAAAAAAATGTACCCACTCAAGACATACAGGAAACCTCCACAAATTTTTAGTCCACTTTGTTTGTTCAGTCATTGTTCAAGCACTCACAGTATAGGAGATATCAGCTTGAAAAGCCAGCCTCTTCTTGATCAGAATTAAACATAAACTCATGGTTCCTTTGGAGATTGTTTTTTCAAGGAAGCTATGGGCTACTTTGGCAATAAGAATTTCTCATCCCCTCCCCTCCAAGCAGTTTTTATAAATGTCATGAAGAGTAATTGGACAAGAGACTGAAATCCAAGCTCCTTCCTACCCAGTGCACTTTTAACCAACAAATACAGCATGACCATGGATTAATTTTCTCTGCCTCCCTGGCCCAGTGAATGCAGATGTATCCATGAAGACTGACATGGCTTCAGTAGGAGGAACTGGGACATCTCTTTCCTTCAGTGAAGACTGTGTATCCTCATGGTTGAGGTCTTGCACACAACACCAGAAACATCAGCAGGAATGTAAGGCAAGGTGAAGGACTTTGCATAGACTACAAGCATAATGATGGAGAAAACTTAACTTTACAGACCTCAGTGCAGTTTGCTAGGGTTAAATTAACGCTTCTGCAGGCAAAGAACAGGTATGACAGAAAATGCATTTATTTAAACTGCTGTACAATGGAAATCTCAATCATTTTGAAAAGCCAGCTGAGGGAGAAGTGACTCACATAGCTTGTACACAGGAAGCCTCTTTGCAGTTTTCAGTGCTGAATTTCTTCTTCTCTGAATACATCACTTGTGTGAGTGCAGTTATCTGCCGAGTGGCAGCGATGTGTTTGGCAGTATATAAACATGGAGAAAGACATGGTTCCTGCCCTGAGGAGCTTACAATCTAAAATGTGACACGGACAGTACTATTCCAACATATAAAAATCAACTGAAATATCACCAGTCAGCTATAAGAGGACCCATTTTAATAAGAAATTGGAATACCAAATATATATATAAAGGCCACAGGTAGGACAGAGTGGTGTCTTTGTTCTGTTATGTATTTATATGTTCATAAGTCTACAGGCATGAAAAGTAGTAATGCTTTGCTTGAGAGAGTGATTTTATTTTCTTTGGCGGGTCTGCTCCAGCTTGTGCTTCCTGAACAAAAATAAAGAAAATTAGAATGGAACCTAGCACTTCTTCTGTGATTTCACATGTCTGAACACTAAACAACATCATTGGGATTAATTACTTCCCATGCAATGGAGGAACCCAGATTTGGGAGAAGTAGTGTGAAAGAAGTGACAGATTTTCTGTCCTGTTGAGCCACTGGGTCTCCACATCAGCATACAGTTGGTGAAACCTATGGCAACACCTCAGAGGTAGAGGTAGATGGGAATCCCACTAATTCTAGAAAGAGCATATCATACTCTCTGTCTGAAGTCAGGAGGGAGTCCCACCACCCAAGGGAAAAATCTGCTGGAAATTCCAACTTTCTTGTAGACTACCAGTTCTTCCATAGTAAGAGATTGTCTGATCTTTATTTCTGTGCAGAGGAGAATAGACAGTAGGAGGAAGAAGAGAAGCTGGAAATTACATTTGAAACCACATGTTGACAAAACTTTAGCAATGCTGGGTGCTCATACATCTACAAAGTCACAAATTCTTCTTCCCAGACACTTCCTGTTTTGAGGTTTTAAAGTCACATTTGGCCTAGTTTCTAAGGCACTCAGAGTAATTTTATAATGTGTCATATTTCTGGTCAGGGTCCTTTCTCTTCCCCAGTAATTTTTTTATTAATCTTTCAAATAAGTTTGAGAGAGGGATTCATTGAAGATATGAAGATCCAAACAGTTTCAGTGAAATCAGTAGCTGAGTAATAGAGGAGAGGGTCGAATTCTTATCAGAGATGAAAGAGAAGCTGCAGTGAGTCTAACAGTGAAGTGTGCTTCTGGCCCATCAGTTGGGCACTTCGTGCATCTATACTGACCACTCAAGCATTACACACTTAGCAGGCTGCTCTCTGCATTGCTCATACTTAGGGGACACAGCTAGGGGAAGGCTAGGGGGTACCACAGGAAGATGATAGGAAATATGCCCAAAGCAGGTCTCAGAAGCCTGGCAGGGAGGTGAAGGTTGTGAGAGCGATGGGGAATGGATTGAAGGGCCTGTAGTATTTCATGGATATTAGGGATCACAGAGACATCTGTGTAAGAAAGTCAGGTTCATTGGTGCCACAGAAATGGGGAAAACTAACATACTCATTAAGGGCAGTAGTTCTGACTAACCATTACATGTCAAATGCATAATACCTTTTTATGGCTTTGGTACGTTATTCCATTCTTGTCATTGCATATAACAACAACATGTACAAAATTTTCAAGTTTATGTTACTTTAAGAACACTTAGAAACTGTGCTGGATACCTTAATAGTTACCTGAAAACCTGTTCAAGAAAGAATGTGTCACAGGGAAGTGTACTAAGACTCTTCTTGCTCCTCCACCTCTTCCTTTTCTTCTCCCTCTTCCTTCTTTTCTTCTTCCTTTTTTTTTTTGTAGAAAAATAGTGGTAGTTATCATGTAGGAATTGAAGGAAAAATAAACAGTCTTGAAATGCAGAGGTCTGCTTCTGCAACTGTTCTGTTTCTAGTAAATGCAGTATTATTTTAGCTTAAAAAATAGAACAGAGAAGTAATGTATAGAGCTTTTAATCTTAACATGCCAGGGTTCTAGCTTTGTGGAGTTAATAGACGAGTGCTGGAATACAAAAATCCTCTTCTTGGAGAGGTTAGAACATGGTACATAGTTAAGCTGTAAACAGATGTTCAAGATCAAAATGAGAATATGAAATTTATGTAAATGTGACAAAAAGTTTAGTATTTTTAATTATATGCTTCCTTGGAGCAGTAAACAAGTCAAGATCCTTGGCACAAGAACTAGAATTCTGTATAACCTAAAAATCATTCAGAGTCAGATAATACAGCCTTGTTTCTGTTTCAAAAGTTCTTATTTCCCTCTTTTATATAGGAGAAATGTCACAATTTAAAGGCAATAACCCTTTCCTTCAGTCAGCCAAATGAACAGTTATCTGAAAACATTTATGTAACATAGACAACAATTTGTGTTTATTGTCTTTTAAGAGCTAGCAAATGAAGCTTTAAAGTGTAGTCCTACTCTGGAAAACAACTGAAAACTGCACTGTAGGCTTTTCTACTCCTTCTCTTCTAGCAAACTCTTTTTCAAAGGCACTCCTTCTGCGTGTATAAACAAGCTTTATCTCAAGACGTCATACCTTCATACACTCCCTAGACTACAAAAATTATGGGAATTTCTTCTTGGAGTAATCAACCAATCAAAGAATACATGGCAGGTAGTATATGAGCAGCACAGACCTTAGGTTTTCCTCTCAGACACATACTGTCTGTACAAGAGTCACATCTGAGTCGCCAAAGTAAAATCCTGTTTAAACATGTGCTCGGGAATGGACCTGTTGTAATCAGATTCCTGGTTTGCATTGTTGTTTTTCAGGGGAAACCACTGTGCTAAGGGATCATCCCTGCAAAAGCAGAAGCGTAGTACAAATGTCCACACAGGTCAGCGGGATTCGAAGTTCTCATGCCGAAGGAATATTGCGTCTTTCAGCACCTTCCCCCGGGAAAGGTGCCTTTCGTTAGCACTCTTTGAAATAGGGCCAGGCAAGCAACATCTTTCAGATATTAAAAACTTCAGTTCAAAATTCAAGCCTTTTACAGAAAAAAAAAAAAAAAAAAGTATTTTTCTCACTTGACTCACTAGTTGGTGGTGCCAAGGTGCACTAACCAGCCTTAACGGTCCTCGCCAGCCTCACCAGGAGCCCCTACACTTCGCCCGTGGGCCCAGGAGCTCCAGTTCAGCTGCCAGGTCCACAATGCATAGCACTGACAGCAGGCGTGTGTATGCATACACATGTATATATGCATGTATCACAGCTGGGGAGTGGGAAGATCCAAATGTGTTCTCTTATTAATTGCAGGTTTGTAGTGGAAAATAGCCTAAAGTAATCATTAGTCTTACTGGGAACACTGAAGAAATATTGAAGGCATAAACTTGCAATGTTGGGCAAAGCAGAAAAGTGTATAAGGTTTCGCACCTGGGTCTTACGAATTCTGGCAAGCAAAATATTTCTTTTATAGGCAGAACTGCCTAAATTGTCAGAATGACTCTTTCACACTCACAACACTGAAAATGTAATCAGCATGGTCCCAGTTAACGACTGTCAAAGACACAGTTGTTTTGAGAGTCCTTGGCAAATTTTGTTAAAGAATCTATGAAAGATGATTTCTCTTTCACAGTTTTCTTTTCTCGTTTACAGTTTTTAATTATTAAAAGCCTATCTTTGTTCCCAAATAATAAGACTATGATATGACCAATAATTATCTCTAGCAGAATATAATACTAGTATATTTAACTCCATGAATAAGAATTTACTAACTTTTGAGTGAAGCAATGAAACTGAAAAGGAATTAAATGCACACAAACAGAAGATGAAAGCAAAATGTTCAAATATACTATACCCCTGTTGCTGCCTGTTCTTCCTTGCTTTCCTAGATAAAAGATACAAAAGAAAATGTTTAAAAAGTAGATCAAAGAAGGAATATCAGATGTCATACAGGCAAAACACAGCAGAAATTAAACACTGAATTCAGAAAAATTATGTGGAATTCAGTGGATTTATTTTGAGATAATGTCCTCCAGATTAACTCACAAAGCACATTTAAGCTAAGCTTTTACTTTGAAAAAGGGCCATAAAATAATTAAATACAGCTCCCTTTTTATCAGTTACTTCCAATTAAATCTGCTTTATTGACAAGCAAAGCATAAGAGCTGGAGTTTTGTTTGCTTTTTCAGGGTTTTGTTTTGTTTTTTTTGGCAATCAGCTGGTCTGCAAAATGAAAGTTAAATCAGAATTATACAGAGTCTTATCTATGTTATATATCATCACTCAGAATCTGGCTTGCAATTCTGTTAACTGTTGTAGGCTGGAACAGATGCCTTGGCTCAACAGTACTGGAGAATAAGAAATAATACATGCTGGGTTTAAACTGTAGATTGAGCAAAAGTGATAAAGAGAAGAGAGATAAAAGAAAAAATATATATATAAGCGTACATTGAATAGAATTTAATGTGAGATACCAAGATGGTTATTGGAGAGAAAAACTAATCTTACACAAAATCCCAGAGAGGGCAAATGGAATAGTACCATGCAGAAGGCATGAGTGGTTGATACAAGTTTGCATAGAATGAGTTGAGATAAGGAAGTGAACTGCAGTGCCAGGGTTTATATATGGCCTGGGGAATTGCTGAGACAGGATACAGACTTGCATTATAATATGGTTTTTGAACATGTTTCTAAAATAATTCTGTCCTGAAGTGAGCTTAATCTGCACGGCAATCTGGTTTAACTGAGACACTGTTTAAAAAATATTCTAAACCTCAAGCTAAAATCAAAAGTTAAAATCATATAGTAAAAATAAAGTAACATTATTACCATCACATCTAGTGACCAGCAGAGCCCTTGCTGTGCCACACGCATAGGAGGTCACAGTCTTCTCAAAAAACTCAAAGGGACAGACAGAGCAAGAAAAAGGGACACTATATCCAAACAGAATGGTTCCTCAACCGGCTTCATCAGAGGATGGGGTTTGGAAATGAAAAACAAGATTAGGAAAAAATCAAGGGTAAACTTGATGAAGTGATTAGGGAAGGAAAGTATGCAACAGGTTTAAGGTCAAAAAAAAAATTCATAATCTAAATAAATCCTAGTGCAGCTGTCCTTTGGTGACCCAGGCTGAAAGCTGTTCCTGTTACTTACTACTGGATCTGCGTAAGGAACTTTCTGTTTCGACATCTGCTCTGGGCTCTCCTGGATGCTTGTGCGAATGAGGGGCTGGAGCTGCTGAACCCTGGGCAATCTAATGTGAGGTGTGTGAAGAACAACCTGTCACACTGTGCACTTATCCCTGCTGCTTCCAGAAGGCAGCTGCTGATTTAAGAGTTTTGTTTTTCAGAGGGTTGGGGTCTCTCACTAGTTTCCTCATGGCCTTACCAGCCTGAGGCAAAAAGCTGGAGCTTCTGGACCCCACTGTCTCCCAGCAAGGGCAGCAGAAGTAGTAGGGGAGGGCTGCAGCCTCCACACTGACCATCAGCTGCCATTCTTGCTCCTGAGGCACTGGAGGAGCCTTCTGAAATCTGGGACCCTCCGTGCAGCTCCACAGTTGAGACAGTAACAGTTTATTTTGTTATCTGTCTTACTCTCATTGTCAAAGATGAAGATATCTTTACCTTGCCAAGGCTCTTCTAGAATTTTCTCATAGCACTGGCATTTCTCCTGCAAAGCCACTGGAGAAAAGCTGACTGGGTTACACCCCGTGTGAGAGTCAGTTTTAAGTTGGCTTGAAGCTGAAATGCCAATACTAGATTCCCACTGGTATATTAATTCAGAAGCAGAACATAAAACTGCAATATTTAAATTGTGACATTTTGATTTATGGGTTTGTCAAAAGAGCAATCTGACACTCTAAAAGAGACCTGACTACTGTTCAAAAGATGCAACTGTCTGGCTGCAAAACACAGTGGGCCACTGATAAAAAGGTCACCCTTTCAGAACTTGGGATACAGAGGCTGCTCTTAACACAGTAGAAGGAAAAATGACACAGGTGGGGAGAGCACACGGAAAACATCTATTCAGTATGGTCAAGCAGTCAAATAAAATGTGCTGGGCTACAGAATGAGAGGAAGAGAGAGAAATACTGAAAATATTGCATTGATACTACGTGGTATCCTTTAGGACCTAACGTCCAAGAAAGATAATACAATGGCAATCTGAGAGTCTTTAAATGTATTTATTTAACTTCATAAAACCCTGGCCAGGTAAGAAATTGTTATTCTAGCTTTCTTTTAGGAGGGTAAAACAAGATACAGAGGCAAAAGATGGAATTCCTCTCACTGTAGCTGGTTCTTATCTAAACTTGTCCCTTGTGTGCTGCCTGTAGTGAATGAGAATACCAGAATTTCTACAGAATTATTAATGTCATCCCAACAGAAGTGATAATTAGGATGAACTGTGGCAAGACAGACAGATGCCATATCACTGAAATGATTTGTTCTAGGTGACATGGAAAGTGGGTGGTAGAACAGGGTGAAAAATGGGTTTTTCATGTCCACACAGGGGCAGGAGCCTCTGGTACCTTGCTGCCTGCAGTGGTGAACACCCTCTCTGAAAATGCGCAAGACAGGAACAGAAACAATGCTTTTTTTTTCCCCTAGGAGCTAATATACACCTGGCATGATGAAGGTAGGTATCAGAGTTGGACAATTCCAGGAAGACTTTTCATTCTCCTTATGTAAGACCGACCACGTAAGAACATTTTGACACTGCCAAGACTGTGCAGGTGAAAAGTGAGGATTAGTTAGGCTAACCAAATTTTATGCCCTCATAACTATAGAATGTTCTGTTCAAGCACACTGTCTTGCCTGGTGCTCTCACCTCTGTCACTCTCCTCCCTGTAAAACTAAAGGAGAATATATTTTCCATTTACATCTCCGATCCATTCTGTGAGAAATGGAGCAAGGTGCTTGTTGTATAGGAGTGGTATTGCATTATGTCATTACAAAACCTCTCATACACAGCTGCTTGACACATTTGCAGACATGTTCCAGCATTCTGTTCTCATTTGAAAAACATTAGAGTAGACTGCCAGCCAGAATGGCAAGTAGCCTAATCCAGCCAGGGGATGCACTGCAGTTTTATGCTGGTCTTCTCTTAAGAGCCAAGGAAAAAGGTATTTGATGGCATTCACGTGCTGGCTGAAATTCACAGACATGAGAAGTGCTTGCATATAATTTAAGGAGAAATTCTAGTTCCCAGAGGGCTGTCTCTCCTCATCACCATTTTGGAAGTTTAATTGGGACTTCCCAGTGCCTAGGACTTGCATGAGACTATGTAAAAGAGTGCTTTCCACCCTAACAATGACTGGTTCCGTCATTTTTAAAAAGGGTAATAGGGCAAGGCTTACAGAGAGGTGCTTCCTCTGGAAAAAACTTTGCAGTTAGATGGGAAAAAACCCAAAACACATTTGTTTTGGTCTTTAGTGAAAGAGATGATGCATTTGTGACATATTCCAATGGGACCATCTGATCTCCAAACCACAAAAATCCCAACAAGTGTAAGTGCTTGATCCAGCAGTAGGCCCGCCTCTGAGAAGAGTCACCTGACACTGCAACATCAAAATAAATCCATCCTTAAATGTCAAACTGTCAGAGCAGCGGGAGAAATATAGCAGCTGGATATCTATCTAGACACAGGATCCATTTGTGCTTAGTCTCTACTGGGTCTAGAACATGGCTAATAACATAAATACCTCACAGAGGAAGACACCAGCACACAACAGGATGGTCCCTTTTTCTGGGACCCATCTACCCTTCAACCACAGGTACTTTACTGATGTTAGCTAACCGCAGGATATTATACTAGGGAATAGAAGGAACTCAGATAGCTTCTTCCAAGAACCTTTAGCACTGCAGTTTGAGATCTGTCCATGTGACTGTAATACCAGACCATGATGCAGGCAGAAAAGATAGCAACAGTCTCCATTTCTGCACTGCCCGGGGTTTTCTGCATGGTCTGGAGAAGACACTGTCAGATCTGGCTTGCTGCAACAGCAGTCAATGCTGGTACATGACAACAAACATTAACAACTAAATTTATGAGCACTGCAGATGCTGGCCATTGATAGCAGCAAATTTTTCCACACAGATAGGACTCAAATGTCTGGTCCTAAATTATTCTCCATAACTAGAGTCTGGTTCCAAATCAGCATTAAAAAAAATAAGCATATGGTAACAACTGGCGAAAGGAAACAGTTAAAGACAACCGCTGTTATTCAACATTCAGAGCGAAGTTCCCTGGAGTTTCATAGATTTCACATCACCACAGCATCAAAGAAAATGCAACCAGTCTTCCCACCCTGAGGCACGCTAGAAGGGCCTGTGGGTTCATGTTTCATGTGCTTAGCACAGGTAAAACTCCCATATCACAAATGGAGAGTGGAAGAATTACCTGTTGATCTTCTGATGGTGACTGAGCCTCTTCATGAGCCCCTTCATCTGTCTTGTCTTCCATGCATGCCTCAGTTTCATCCGTGGCATCAGACTTTTCAGTCTCCTTGCAACAAAGGAGAGAAGTCATTGTTAGCTTCAGGGCACCAACCCAACAATTCATTTCTATACAACGCTTGACTTTACAGTTTTAGGAGGTGTTTTTCTAATTTTGCTTCAGCATTCAAATGAAAATATACACCTTTGAATGTTTTTTCTCTGAAAGGAATGCTTGTTGGCACATCGATCTGCTGGTAAGGGCATGGCGTTTTTGTAGGGAAAAAATGAATTCAAGAACTTCTTCCTCTTCAGAACATAGTAGATTCTCTAACTTTTCTGTGGAAAGTTTAATAGAAACTGATGCTCACCCTTATGGCACATTCTATCTTCCAAAAAAAAAAAACACTTTTTCAGCAGCATGTATTCCAATTAAACTTCATCAAGAAGCTACAGAAAACCAGAAGGTTTTCATATATAATCTCTTAACTTGCTTGTTCAAAATCATCAGGAAACTGTTCCTCAATTCACACACCAATCTATCAAATCTATTTATTCCAGCACTGTGAACAAGCACCTCCTAGAAGGCTCTTTATTTTAAGTCCTGTTGTACTTTCAGCTAGGTAGCTGGGAAAGGTCACACTGGATCACACACTGTGTCAGATAAAAGGAGACCTGTATGGCCTCAAGTGGAACAACAGAAATAGGATGAAATGCAATAGCACGAAATGCAAAGTCACATTATTTGGGACAGGTAGTTCATGGGCAGAGATTAGAAACAGATGTTTCTACTGCACTTTGGGAGCTTGTTAGTTGATGATCATCAAAGAAGAAAAGGGTGGATGTATTTAAATAATCACAGAATAGCTGAGCCATGAATGTGATGCGATAGTGAAAGAGGTAATAAATGGGATCCTCAGATGTATGAGGTGAGGTATAGCTGCTGGAGCTGAAAGCGAATATTAATGTCATTGTATAAGGCCAAGGCGAAACCTCCTCTGGATCGCACTGTACTGTTTCAGTCACTCAGGCTCAAGAAAGAGAAATTCAGACTGTAACAGGTGCAAAGTGGGCTACAGGAATATTTGAGTGAGTGGAAAGCCTGTCTTATGAAAGGGTGACAAAGTAATGCTGTGAGAGGATATGATGGCTCCCTAAAAATAGATCAAAGTAAACATCAGGGAGGAATAGGATAAGGAAGAGCACTGAGGTAAATGCAAAAAGAGTACAAATAGGCTGTAAAAAAAAATTCTAATCATTAGCAGTGTGAAATTTTGGAAGAGCTTTCTAGTAGAGAAGCAGAGACAAATGATCTAATTCATTAAAAGGGACTTTGATTGCTTCTGGGACGTGTTATGTGGTGTGGTTGCCTCCATGAACAGAGACCTGGGCTCAGGGGAGGTCCTGTCCTGTGTCATCGTAAATCCTACACTCTTCGGCCAGAGCAGCACGTCCCTGGTTGATAGAAGACGAGCTCCTTTCTCATCCCTGTGACCAAACCCTCACAACTCATTCACCTGGTTGGTTTGGGTTTTTCTGCTTTTCCATAATTTCATTTGTCTCTACAGTTAAACAAAGGCTCTCAGTTACAATCCCCTGCCCTTTAAGCTTCACAAGTCCTCCTCCAGTGTCCTCATCATGTATGATTTCTTCGGCCAGCGTACTTAACCTGCGGAAGCGTGATGCTAGCACAGCTATCTGGCTTTTAGCCCCAGAGCAGACTTGGGCGAGTGCTGACTTAGGGATCTTTGTCCCATGATGTGTTGTGCAGTATAAGACACGCCCTCTTAGTGACATGCTCTGCTGGATGGGGACAAAAAAGGTAAAAAAGGAGGTTAGGAATGTTTGGAAGCAAATATCGTGACAGAGCAAAGATGGACAAAATACTTCTGCAGTTTTTTCTTTTTCCTGAAATTCCACTGTCTGTGAGAGTTGGTGCCCCTTTGGCAATTTTCTCATGGATCATGGAAAATATGTTTTACATCTAAGGAGCCTGCAATGAAAAGAGAGTAGGCACACAGGCTTGTAAGTTCCTCTGCAGAGAAGAACAAAAGCAGCAAAAAAACATGTCAGGAGAGAGCACGGCCTTCCCTGCGGCCGGCCTTCCCTGCGGCCTTCCCTGCGGCCTTCCCTGCGGCCTGCCTTCCCTGCGGCCAGCCTTCCCTGCGGCCTTCCCTGCGGCCTTCCCTGCGGCCTGCCTTCCCTGCGGCCTTCCCTGCGGCCTGCCTTCCCTGCGGCCAGCCTTCCCTGCGGCCTTCCCTGCGGCCTTCCCTGCGGCCTGCCTTCCCTGCAGCCTTCCCTGTGGCCTGCCTTCCCTGCGGCCGGCCTTCCCTGCGGCCTTCCCTGCGGCCTGCCTTCCCTGCTGCCTGCCTTCCCTGCGGTTGCTCCCGGCACGGCGCTGCCTGGGCCATCCTGGCAGCAAGGGCCTCGCCAGGGCTGCACGCTGGGCTGGAGCGAGGGGCTGATCAAGACCACAGCTCTAGAAAGAAAAACACTTCTATCATCTCACACAATTTGCATGCTCCGTTACACAGCTGCCTGAATGTTTTTGCCAGGATGTGGGGGATGCTTGGGGAGAGGAATGAGCAGCTGGGAGTAAGCAGAAGGAGCCAGAAGAAGGAGGAGGGAGAAAAGACTACTTCTTTTTCTGCCGAGATTGTCTCACTTCAAGTACACATTAAACTCTGGGCTCACTGCCCTCTGATGCTGGTGGCACTGTTATTAAAAGCAGACCTACAGAGACATTCGTTTGGTTTAATTTATCTTCTACTTTTCCCTCACAAGCTAATAAAATATTGGAATATTAAAATATGTAGTAACACAGATATATATTGAAATTCGATTGTGCAACATTGTGTTCATACATTGTTTTCTTAAGCAAATGATAACTTCCTTACAGATACTTTGCAGCAGTTCCTAAAATGAAGAGGATAGCGTTAAATAAAACTAAATTGGTTAGATCCTAATTTTCAGCATGTATATTAACATTTCATTTTTAAAATCTACATATTAAAATCAATATTTTTTGGCAGATAAATAAAATACATAAAGACTGAAGATGACATTCTAATTAAAATGAACCTATTGTGTAAAACTGTCTCAGATGAATCATATACTTACTCTGAGCATAATGCAAAAAAAAACCAAAAGTTGTAGCTGAAAGAACTAAACTCTAGAAGCAGCATGTTATCAGCCAGAACACATGCACACACACATACAGAGTTCTTGTTAATTATATGGAGAACCGTGATGTTTGGAATATCATTGTTATACTAGCTCTCCATAGAAACACAAAATTTAATTTTTAGCTAATTTAAAATGAAAAACCATTTATAAAGATCAGCTGACTTCACTTTCTCTTTAAATAAATTGCACATACTGTAAATTTGTAATTCAAATCAGTCTTAGTAGAAGTCTCCTTCAACTAAAAGACTAAAGCTCAAGTATCTACAGATTTTGGACTATCGAGATTATGGATATTAAGGCCAAGAATACAGAGATTAAGGATTTAAGTATATATGAGATTTGAAAACAGACCCTCAGCTCAAGTAAATCAGCTTCATTGAGCTCACACAGCAATTGCAAACCTAAATGGTCTTGATACAATCTACTGGCTCTCTGGACTTCCAGGAAAAAAAAGCAGTATTCCAGGGCAGATACTAAAGTTCTCAAAAAGCCTGATTGTCCCTGAAAACAACAAGCAATCAATTACCTTCATTCAAACCGTACTAAGGTGCTCAGAAGGTGTAGTAATACAGCATTCCCTTTGTCATCTTAGTTTAAGTATTAGGCATCTCATTGACAAAGCAATTCACCTGTGCCATTTAGAAAACAAGCAGTGCAGCTGGAGCTTTTAATAGTCTGTTCACACATCACCAATATTTCAGAGCATTTTCAAGAATACTGAGAACAGTCTCAGTCTAAGCATAAAAGTGATGGGGGCTTCAAAAAGAAACCTACCCAACTTTGGGGGCTTTTTGTGACTGATGCACCTGACCCTAGACATACAAATTACATCGACTATAGCTCAAATTTACACATGTATACTGTTGTCACATCCCTGTTCATGCCACTAATCCAAGATAATCTTTGGATCAGGCATAAAGCACAGCTGTCCTCTAAATCCCATCCTGCCACGAAACGTGTTTGTAGTATTCTAGACCAGGTATTCATTCAAGTGAAAAGGTATTTCATACTAATAAACTAAAGAACTTATTAACACAAATACTATGCCTGCTTCTTCTTTTCAGCACATAATACTGTGCTACTCAGCCCTGTTAAATGATGCTTTAGAAAACGTGATAACCACCAGCATGGGGAGGCAACAGGAGAGAGAGGATGATGTGGAGCTAATTGACTCTTTCTGAAGAACCAAAAACATGTATTGATTTCCTCTCATGTCACTGAGTTTTATAGCCACAAAGCACCCTTTAAGGATAAAAATGTACTTGGTATATAGGAAAAAAAAAAGTGTGAAGATCTTTGCCTGACTCCCACAGTGATTTAAGCAAATAGTTAGCATTTAGAGCTTTGGCCTTTTCACCGAGACCTGCAGAAGTTTCTATATTCTATCCAGGCATCTAAATACTTCATTGTATCAAATCTAGGAACATGGTGATGGCCACAGCAACTGGCCATTTGTACAGCGGTGCCTGACCAGACCCCTTAGCAGGGGCCGCAACACAGCTGGCTGCAGGCAGGGGTAGGCACCTGCTTAGGGAGCTGCCCCCGAGCCTGTTTTCCAACCAGTCTGGTTAACTTCGATGCTGTTTTGCTATTTCCTATTGAAACAATTACAGCTTTTTGGTAAGTAAGAGGATACTTAAATAAGTAAGCGTGCAAAGATTACTTTGCATGTGTGCTGCAGATCTGAGAAGGATCTTTATATCTGTGTGTATTCAGAGCTTCTTCACACGTGTCTTAGTCAACCTGCACGTTGGTGGCAACTTTGATGTGTCCTAGACATATCAGACTCCGCCTGTAATTGAAGGTCAGATTGCACATTAAGCTCTGGCACCATCAGAGCTCCAACACCTAGCAGTAACTTTTCAATGTAAATGCTGGACAAGTAGGTCTGGTGACAAGTTGTAGCCATTTAACCAAGAGAAGTCAGGGCTACAGAAATGAGAATCTGCAGAACAGAACTGAAACATGTATTTTGCACCCAGCAGGCTGATGTAGCAATGAATTTAACTACAAGTATTTTGTTCGAAAGTTATAATTTGTTGAGAGAATAGCAAAAGGTTCCTCTGCTTGCTCTAGAAAATAGGCTCAAAACAGCCCTGGGTTGGGATCCCAGTGGACTGTTCTGTGAAACAGCATCATGTTCATTCAAGAGCTTCTCTACTGCCAGTACAATATGAGACAAAAGATGGATGGAAAAGGAAAGAGACTCTTTTGGGGCAAAAGTTTAAAACATGTGTAGGCTTCATATTAACTTTTGTAATGTCTCAGTGAGGTAAAAAGTCCTAGAAGGCAAATGCTTACTGGATGTTTTGTGGTGTTAACATCCTTTACAGTTTGCTTCTTTTGCAAATTATCACCATATTCCAGAAAAACAAAAAACAAAACAAAAAACAAAACAAAACAAACCCCACAATTATTTAAGAAGGGATTAGTAGGAAACCCTGTCCTATGTGTCATCAGCACCATTTCTTCAACACCTGACTTATTATTTCAGATTCATGCTGCTGGAAATCAGTGTCACGAGCCATCCATTGTACTTCATGCTAAGGTTGAATTGGCAGCCTAATGAATGGAAAGCAGAAGCAGTACAGCAAGGTTATTTGTATGACAAAGCACAGCCAGACTGTCACGCAGTGAAGATGCGGAGAAACACCTCTGCAATAAATGCTAAAACACTTGTATATTTCTCTCTCAAATTCTAGATTCTCAAATTCTAAAAGGGACACAATGCAAGTATACTTCCACTCTTTACATGGAATTTTAAAAAACACTCTTGCTTATTTCCACTTTCTGGACTGAAACAACCGCCACCAATGCAGCAGTTAATCAGCATAAACCATACTTGCTTGATACCAACAGCACTAACACTGATCTGCCCAACAGAATGTACCAAATGTATTATTTTCAACATTTACAAAATTCTCATGAAGTAGAAACTGTAATAGCCTCTGTTGCAGCTGGGAATGAACAAATTCTAAAAAACTGTTACTTTGCTTCATAGACATGCTATCTAACAGAACCTTGCGTGGAGGAGCAGATAATATATGAAGTGGGGAGATGGAAAACGCAATTTTCTTTATCTCATTGATTCTCCACATATCTTTTATAATGATTATAATATGTAATACCTGCAGTCCTTTAAGCCTTTCATGGCTTTGTGGATGTTAATTAAATGAATTCTCACAAGACCCTTGTGAGGTTGGCAAGTAATTTTTATTTCCCTTGGTGGGAGATGGCACAGCTAAGGCAGAAAGTTTAAATCACTTGCTCCTTATCACACAGGGACTCGGTGTCAAAGACATTTATAGCAACTGTGGCTCTCCTCTGGGTATCTCTTCATCTGTAGCTCTCAAAGCACTTAGCAAGGGCTCCTTTTTCTCTCTACTTTTACAGAAGAGGAAAAACAGAGACATGCACAACAGTGTTTCACTCAAAGTTGCCACACAGTTGGCAGCAGAGTTGGACCAGAAAGCAGATCTCATGCTCCAGGGCAGCTCTTCAGCCAGGCCACCGCAACGTAGCAGAGTTCTCCTATCACTCTGGCTCATCACTCTCTTGATTCATTTCTTTTGTTGAATCATCCATCTTAAAGATGGCAACATTTGATTATCATCTAACATGATCTTAGGATAAGAGAGCCATAATGCTCTCAGTTATGAAACTTCTAATTAGAAGAAGACTCTGTTAAAGATAAAACACATTGCTTTCTGTAAAATGAAGAAAAAAACCAAACCAAAACAAAAAAAAACCAAAGAAACATATTTTTCTTTTGCCAGAAATATATGAGAACATTGTCAAAATATAGAGAACAAGGGGTAGACTTGCCAAAGGGACTACATGAAGTCCTGGGTGAGACTTTAAGTTACCTCCTTAAGGCAGAGGAAGGGATCCCCGCAGCACCAGCCTGCACGTACCCACAGAGGATGGATTTGGCCCGTGCCCAGCCCCTCTGCTGGTGGCCAGTACAAACCCCGTTTGCTCAAGCTTTGATGCAGTCAGGGGGAAGTGAAGTTTTCTTATAATTATCACAGCCTATAAATAGTATTATGAAATTCTGCATCATTTAAAAGATGAACATAAGATACTGCTTTCTGTTGACAACAACAAAAAAATCATCAGCTGGAGGCATGGTAACAAGCCTGCAGTGAAAGAAGGGAAGAGAGAAGTATTTTCTTGTGTTTACTGAACCAGACACTATTTTTTTTCCCCTTAAGAACACATTGCTGCACCAGCATCTAATGTAATGCTTGTCACTGCCCCCTTTGTGACGTGCCGAGTCACTGCCTATCTTCATCTTTTATTAAAATCAAATAAATGGCCCCCACAGAAGGACAGCAGTGCATACCTTTGTGCCTGGAGGAGGAGCAAGACCCAGGAATGAATAAATAATATTTTCTTCTTTAGCAGAGAAAAAGGATTCAAAATCCTAAAAAAGGAGCAAACAAACAACAGAGTTGGTAACAAAAATCAAACAAAAAGTACAGGAGGAAGAGACTAACCCAGGCGAATCTTTCTTATATTGATGAGAATGACTATGCATTTGTACAAGCGCCTGCATTATCTAAGCCCCAGAAGAAAACTCAGATAAAGGGAGTTTCACACTGACTGGCAAAATGAACAAATGGGCAAATCTCTCCAGAGACTTACACTTTAATTATATCACATCTATGTCAGAATCAGATAAAATTAAGCATCTCATTTTAATGTGCCTCAGCTGTACACACCAAAGCGAAGATATTCCCATTTAAATGTTAAAATAAAACTTGCTGTGAGTAAGAACACAAAATAGGCCCTCAAAACCCTGGACAGCTTTATGGCAAATAAAAGGCAACAGTCAACATAATAGCACAAGTGAAATGATAATGAGGCAACTGTTTATTTTAAAGAAGGCACTTTGGTGAGAAAATGCAGGGTTTTTTCAGACAAATTTGGCAAAGGTCTATGTTGTTTCCTCTGACGTATATGTACCAGACAAAATGACCTGTCCACATGTGAAGTTATAAATCACTATGTTAAACATCCATTTTCTCTTCAGTGCTAATATACCTGAAAAAACATGAGGGATGGCTCCTATCCTACCGTCTAGAAGTTGCATGGTCTTTACTGTATTCACCTGTACAACTTTCCTGTCAATTAAGGAAGCTCTGCTATCACTAGTTTGTTACTGGGAAGTTCATGACTTGCATCTTACATAGGTAAAAATCAACGTGTATATAAGATCTCAGCAGAAACTCTGGTCATAAGTGACTGGCCCACTATCACACAGCAGCTCTGTGTAGGACAGGGGACTGAACACATCTGCTGAGTCTTAGACTACTGCCTTGACCATGTTATCATCCTTCTTCTCATCCCAAATAACACCAAAAATAGAAGCCTGTAAATAATAAGGTGCTGACTCATCCTTAAGAACTGTTTGTAAAGCTGGGTTAGGACCTGAGTTGTTTTATTGGACTGTTTTAATATTTCCAGAGAATAAATTACTAGCTGAGTGTAATCATAGTGAAAGGCTGGAGTGGATGGTTTAGCAGATACCCTAATGTCAACAAGACTGGAATCAATGAAATTTCAGTCCAGTTTGGAAGAGGAAACATAGCTTACCAGACAGGATAAATGACAGCCCATTTCACCGAATGATCTAAGGGACAGATGGCTTTCACACAGCTACAGGCAGTGGGAACTGCCCGGTCTGGGAGAAGCCACTGAGCACATTTTGCCCTGACCAGGCAGAATACCTGCTGCTGCTCCAGGCCACCCATTTCTCAGACCACCTCTTTGCTGCTTTCATGTTGCTGTGGGGTTCTCCTGATCTAACTCAGGTCTGCCAGAAGTATTTAAGAAAGCCAGTGTCTGAAGTCTAATCCACAAATTTAGGAGCAATACAGCAAACAAGAACATGAGGATTTTCTGCAATTCAAAGGGCTGGAATTTCACATGGGCCTTTGACAGGCCATACAAACACAGTAAACTTGTATCTTCCACATATGCATAAAACAGTCTAAGCACACTATGGCACAACATGTCAATAGCTCAGAAACAAAGGGAAGACTATAATAAGGAAGGGCCATGAAGTGGGCTTGGTATTTTATGTCTTGTTAGTTCCTCCCCAGAGGAAAAGCATCAGACGGTAAATGTACTAAAAATCTCCAGAGGCACATAGCCTTGTAGATAACCAAACCTGAGGGCACAAGAAACATGTGTGAGTGACCAGACAAACTCCTTATTAAAAGAGGATACAACCTTCTACCATAACAGGTACTCCTTGGCAACTGGTAGTGTACCATGACACTCCACAGTAAACGTGGTATCTCACAGTTAATGGGAGGTCACTTACCTTGCCTACACTGAGGAGCAAGCTATTATATATTTAGCATGGGGTAAAAGCATGACTGCAGTGATCATGGAATAATTTTTGTATTGTTTATTTGCACTCTTACTTTCCTAATGGTGACTTGTTCACACCTCTATTCTCTGAATGACCAAAGATAACAGTTCCCAAGGCAGGCAGTAAGAAAAATGAGCAGTAACAATTTATTTCAGGTAAGCAATAATATTCTATCTGTATGAGAAGATGGTCAAGGTGGAGGGTAGTAGCATTATTTGTGTTTGGAACTAGTCTTTGAAAAATACAGAGAAAAATATATGTACTCCGTGAGTTTTCCTTTATGATATGAGTGTATATGCTCATGTACACTCTATGCTATCATCCTTTGTATGACCACTCTGGAAATGCCAAACAGCAAAACAGAAAACTCCAATTGGACATCAGCAGAAAGTTCTTCCCCATGTGAGCGGTACAGCACCAGGTCAGAGATCACAGGGTAGTCATGGAAACACCAACCTTGGAGACTCTGAAATTCAGATGGCCAAAGCCCTAAGCAACATAAGCTAACTTTAAAACTATCCCTGCTTTGAGCAGCAGGCTGGACAGCAGATCGCCAGAGGTCCCTATGATTTCCGTATATTTGATTTTAGCAGTTATATGGAGCAGCAAATAAAAGTCTTACCTAAAAATTAAGTGATTCTTTAAAAAAATATGTACATGGATGTTTTATTCTATGGATTTCAGTTTACAGAGAAAAGCATAGATTTCAGCTTACAGAGAAAAAACAGAAGTTTACATTTTGTTTCTTAGTTTTATAGAGGTTTTTTGTTAAGCAAAAGCAAAGACAAGAGCAACAGAGTGCTCAATATATTTAGAAAGTGACAGAGATGTAGACGTCTGTCTAGACATGAGCAAAGAAGCAGCTTAAGAAAAAGATCAAATAAGAACATAACTGCCAACACTGATGGATTAGAATGGATACTTGAAATTGGTGCTATAGCCAGGCATACAAAATGAATCCATTTCTAATCTGTTTCTTCAAGTGGCAATACCCAAGATCTGAAAGAAAAATAAGATTCAAGATGTTTATAAGACAGTCTTAAGCGTCTCTGACCTCATGGAAAAGCTGCTCATAGTTGGTGTATTTTCACAAATGCATCTGTAAGAAAACTCCATTTTACAGTACAAGTTAGGAAGTGAAGCAGCTCTTCATGGCCAGCCAGAAGATGCAGTTACTTTTATGTATCAACAGAAAAACAGATTAGCAACAGGACTTCATTTCCTTGCTCATTATGCCAGTCTATTCCAGCATGAAAAGGAACGTGCCACTCCTGTACCCAGTATCCCTTCTCTCCCTACTCCCACAAGCAAAATTTCATTGAACTGCAGAAGAGGGGATTGGAGAAGATCTCAAAGAAGTATTTCTCCAAGGCAGGAACCATTACATTATTCCTGATAGGTGCTTCTCCAGTCCATTGGTAATGACTATTAATGAGATAAAGAGACAATCTCCCAAAAACTGCGTATTTTTTTTCTGATGTCTGACTTAAACTATCTTTGCTGCATTTTTTTTGCTCATTACTTCTTGTCCCAACACTAGAGGGTGTGGAGCAGAACATATTTTACAAAATCCTAGAGCCACAGGATAATACAGGTGGGAAGTGACTTCAGGAGACCATGTAGTGCAACCTCCTGCTCAAAGCAGAGCCAATAGTTAATTCAGGCAAATAATTAATTCCTTTTCGCTGCATCCCTTGCAATATTTGAAAGTTGTCACATCTCTCTCCAAATCCCTCTTTCTCAGCATGAGCAAGGAAATCTTATCTTGAATTTTCTTCTCCCAAGGCCAGTGCTCCCAGGCCAGCATGTTGCTAATGTGTATGTATACACATGCACATATGTGAATGGGAAACAGACATACAGGACAATCATTTGGAATGGAAGGGAGGGAAAAGAGTCATCTCAGAAAGGAGAATAAGCAGAAATGAAATGTAAGAAGTTTGACCTAAAAACAAAGGACTAGCTGGAAATGAGGAAAGAAAAAAAAAAAAAAAAAAAACAGTAGGAAGGAGAAAGATAAAATGTCTTACCAAAAAAAAAAAAAAAAAGAAAGAAAAAGTGTAAAGAGTCTTGTTTAGAATAGCAAAATGAAGATTTAATAGAGGATATGATTCCCATTTACAAATACATTGGACTAGAGCTGTTTAAGCTAAAGGGTGATTTTGGCATACCAGGAAATGGGTATAAGATGGCTGCATACAGCCAGTCTACAAATTCAAAGGTTTCTAGATGCCATGAGACTGAGGCCCTTGAAGGCTGTATTAACAAGACCAACGTATTTTAAAGGGACTTTCATGAATTCAGGATACTGGACTGGAGTTCCTGACTCAGACAGACCTTTGTAATTTTCAGCCCTTTTTTTAATAAAGTAACTGAGGACAAAGGAAGTGGGACATGGGGGAAGAGTTAAGGTATATCATGTAAACCTTAAGCAGCATAAACCAGTTCTGGATTTCAGAACGATGGGTCTGTTGGACCTGCACAGGTTATGCGGGGAAGTGGAATTAAAATCCCCAGCTTTATATTGTAGACATGTTGCAGAAGACATCATGTAACTTAGAGGAATTTTACACCACTCTGCCAGCCCCTGGCCATGTTCTCAACCAGCCCACATAATCCTACTTCACATTCACTGTGCAGCTCCCTTTAGGCACATTCCCCTGAGGAGAAGGGTAAGGCTCATGTACTGATATGGATCTCCTTACCTTATTTATTTGGAAATAATGAAGCTATAAATTAATCTTTGTATGCACCTACTGGGATTATTCATTATGAGCTTTGAGACCTGGGTACATTAGAATTCTGGAGACTTTTAGGCTAATTGTAAATTTGACTTACTTTTTAAATCAGTAGCTGCAACTGCTTTCTGGATCCCTTTCCACGTGAAGGTGTCTTTGCAAAGGACTCTTTCTTAACTCAAATTTATTTCAAGATCTGGATTATCTGAAATACCTTCAGACATGGAGTAAAAATTGTATATTTATCATTTACTGGCAAGGCTGTCCAGCTGCAACACTTTGTAAGGCAATTACTCTTTAATTCACCATGTAACCCCTCCAGGGAATATCAGAAATACTTACTGCAACATTGGCTGCCACAAAATCCAGAGTAAGATATAAAATTATACTTTTTATTGGTGCAGACTGGATGCTGAAATTCACATGAACTCTAACCTACCAAGATCTCTTTTAAGATTCCTACGAGAAAATGAGTAAACAATTGCACTCCGTTATTCATATTAGCAAGTTTTGCTCTGAGAGCACTGAAGTTAATTCGGAAAATTTAGTGGCATGTAAATCCCTTCTCTCTCAAAACAACCTTTGCAGTAGTTCACACTGGATTTGTGGAGTAACTTAAAACTGGGCTCACTATGTGATCTGCGTTTCAGAGTACTTTGCAAGTTCATTTCAGCAATCACATCATAGTACTTTCCAGACTATGTATTTCCATCCAGATTATGAGAAAAAAACTGTCTCAGATATCTCTTTTGATTCATGATCCTAATATTCATGCTGATACAGTATTATCTATCACTGATCTGAAGAAAGTCTCTCAAGAGAAATAACCTGTTACAAGCATATGTGAAAATATAAAAGTATCTGATGAGTGTCACAATTTCTGTTATGAAGAGTTGGATATTTATTGAATAAGCAATATAATTTCAGTAATTCCAACCACATACTAGAACTATTTCAGTCAACTCTGATTCCTATTTATTTGTATAATACAATGGAAAAGAAATATTCCTGTCCACAGGCCCTGGTGCCTCAGACATCTACTTGACTTCCTAGCAGCCCAGATGAGTCTGTGTCAAGCAAAGTACCAACACTCACCGTGCAAAATTAACTGAAAGTCCAAAAAGCAAAGTGCAATACAACTAGAGATAGCAGATGAGCCTTGCTATGAACCCCACTAGTTTTGAGTACCTTGGTATTGTCAAACCACACAAATGAGCATTTACTACTCCAAGTGCGCAGCTCAGCTGACCTCACAGTCTACATCTGGTTATCCTGAGATATTGTGAGAAGAAGCCATGCTGTCACCTAGACAGTACTGCCTTTGGTCTTCAGGAGCCAAAGTGAAAGTGCAGGCAGAGAGCCAACAGCAGGACAACTTGTGAGTGAGCTGCACAGCAGAAGGTAGGACAATGTAAGAGGGAAACACAGAGCTCCTCACAGGCGGCCAACTCCACACCTGCATGGGCTCTGGGTCTGCAGGCAATAATCCATACAGTCTGTTAAGCAGTTTCTCTAGTTAGTTTTCCCTCTGTGTGTATTTTTCTCCTAAAAGGGAATAATCTTTTATTTCATTGCTTTTGTGTGCCTAAAGAATGCTTTCTAAGAATTGTTCTTTCAAAGTGAATCTCAAATTGTCTTAATGAGTTTGTTTGACACTTCCTACTAGTGGAAAAGAGTCACTTTCTGTGAAAGAAGACTCTGATGGTATTTAAATTTCCAAACAGCTTCTTACCCCACAGTATCTCTCCTCGTTGAAGATCTGTGGAGGGAGGGGAATTCCATTTTGAGGCTTTTTTTCACCTGGGACATTCTCTCTCATCCATTTCCTGTTGTCTTCATCACCTGCTATGTCCATTTGCTGAAAGTCAATCTTGTTGGCCTCTAAAAAGCCCACTACTTCTTGCTGTTTCTTTTTGATCTGGTTAGGAAAGAGGAAAACCAAAATTCCTTCTTGAAAGAGAAAACTGTTTTCTAGAAGCCACTGCTAGTACAAGCAGAACTAAGGCAAGCATGTCAAGTTAGATCCATTACTCCAGTAGCCCCCCCAAACTTTCTGAAGCTGAGATTCAACACTGCTTCTCAGCACCCAGGGCACTGACATTACTCCCCACCCACCCACCCCCAGTTTCTTTCTTTCCTCTCTGGAAGCATTGATACCTCCATCTAAGAAACGAAGGTCAGGAGAAAGCCTCCTACTCTGTTCCCAGATCTGTGAGTGTGGTGTACAGACACCCAAGCTAATCCTGCCTCAAGTCAGCACAGGTCTGAGAATGCACATATTCTCCTCAACATGTAACTGACTCCTCTTTCCTACTCATTACATATGACATTTAGCTTTCTGTGAGCCACATGTTTCTCTCTGTCCCTGTTCTTTAATGCTAGGCATAATTAAATATGAGTGAAAGCCCAGTGAAAATCCAGTATAGCTTAACTCTTGTGCTTGAGCATTTCCCACATTACAGGATGATGTTCCAGTTGGACCATGAAGAACGTATTACATACACAAAAAGCATATTATACACAGCTCCTGTGCCACCTATAATTCAGTCATGACCCTTATTGCCTTTGATGTTAATTTGCATAGGCCTAGGATGCAGGCATCAAGCTTATAACCTATCCCTTTATTTTGGAGATGTAATATTCACTATACTTTTCTACTAAAGAAATGCTACGCCTAGGCAACATTTAAAGAACTTCTCCATTTTAACTTGTCCAAGAGCTCAAGGCCAAACTTTAGCCCGACAAGTACTGGAGGATTTGAAGCAAGGACTGCGTGGACCGATTTGTACAAATTCTCTCAAGCCACTCTTTGGCCAGAGACAACTAAATTATTATCTAGCACAACCACGTTCCAGACATGACACTCTTCTCCTCCCAGTTATGCTACTCCATGCAGCAAGTTAGTGTCCTATATAGAGAGTAGCTAGAATGATGTATCAAGGTAATTTTTATATACAAGCCATCATAAAATTTGAAACCATGTCTTCCACAAGTCAGACATCTGAACAGCTGAATTTAAAATGACACCAAGCTAGTGTAAATCAGTCTGAGACAGACAGTGAGACAAGAAATAATTAATGGATTATGTTTTTCTGTAATCTAATAAACCTGAAAAGCTGAAGTGATAGCCTATTATATTGGGAAAATGAATTTTCACGATTAAGGATAAAATTTCTTTTTATTGTTTAAATAAGGAAGTATCCATATATACAGCTATGCTTGCTTATAAAAATAACAAACATTAAATGCTGTGCATTGTTATGACAACAACAGAGGTTTATGGTGAGCTACAAGAAGTACATCACTTTGAATGGAAACACTAATCCAAAGTGTTCAAAAGCCATACAGTTGACAGATCTCAGAGGTGCTTATTTATATTTTCATTTTCACTTTTTAAAGAGAGATTATTTTCTTAATGGCTACTTAGCTGCACAGTTATTTGCAGAACACATTCAGGTGGCAGAAAGGATTGCTTGAGGGACACTTTTGGAGAAAGAGGCAGGGTAATATTTGTAAAAATGGTTAATAAAATCTGCATGAGATAGTACTAAGAGTTTCATCGCATGCTCTGAAAGCTAGTCTACTCAAGTGCTGTCAGCTGCAATTTCAGTGTCAGCTTGTCTCTTTGGACCCAGACACTGAAGTAGATATGGCTCCTGGTATATCTAGTGCCCCAGAGGGATAGGGCCTCTGGGGAGATAATGGAAACTGAGATAAAGGTTCTGTCCTCCCTTGCTTATGGTTGTAGCTATAACTTTTAGAATTAAACCCAGATAAACATCTTTTCTTCAGCCTGAGGTTCCCAATACACAGAAGGCTCAGACAGCATCAGGACTGAAAGCAAAAATTAGGAATGAATGCTAAGGAAAAATAAAAAGCTACATGTGATTATGTCTGCGTAAAGAAAAGGTAAGATGTTTCTCATTACGACAACAACCATAAACTATGCAGAAGATGTACTATGCCTAAAGGCTTATTATTACCAGGGTTTAGGCAGAACTAAAGACTGGGGACACATGCTAAGTATGAAGCCATAAACCAAGCCTCTCCTGTGGCTGGCACTAGGTAGCTGGGCAACCAAAAGAATCTCTCCAGCAAACAGCACTCACAGAGGGAAACCTTCCAGGATGTAACAACACAGAGGACATGCAAAGGTTTTCCGAGAATGGACGCGATTGCAGGAGCTTGTTTGTGCTCTCAATTGTGTCTGATGGCATGGGAAGAATTTGGATTACTTGGGCACAGATACCCTGGAAAGTGGTGGTGAGCAGGATATTATTTCATTAATGTAATTTTCCCTTTCAACAAAGCTTAAGTTCCACCATCCCTAGCTGCTAGTCCCTTAAAATAAGAAAAAAACCCCAACATTTTAAATAAATGTTATCTAGTGATTCATGGTACCTTAGAACCTTGCAGGATATTATCCATTTCTAAATACCTCTGTGGCTAGCAACAAAATAATTTTATATTTCTACTGCTTGCTTTGAGCCAAGCATTTAGTACTTTTTAGCACTGTAAATAAGTGTCTCCACTTCTGCTTGCCTTAATGAATAGTTCAACATTAGCTAAGTTTGGGGCAGAAAGATAACAAAGCTGAAGTTATTTAAAATGAATTTCTGAACCATTGAGGGGAAAAATACAGATTGCAGATTTGCTCTAGAGCTACAGTGAACTATGTTATTCAAGCATCTGATCCAGAGCACCAGAATGTTACTGCGTTCACTGCATTCGCTTTAAAAAAGTATTTATTAACATGATAACCAGTTGCAATTAGTAGTGTGACTGTGTAGTATATTGAATAGCTTTCATTCTTTACCAATGATTCTCTGCTGATCTACATCAGAGGAGGCTGGGCCCATCTTATTTTGAAATTCAAAATGAACAACATGCATTTGATGGAGATCAGTCACGTTGAAGAGCACACCAGTGCTACTAGGACAATTTAGACTTCCAATTTAAGCTCTTTAGGGATTAAATTAATTCTTAGGAAAATCTGTACAAGGCTGATACAAAATTTGGTTTTAATAGGATTTTAGTGATATACTGGGGTTTGTGCTGTCTCCTTGCATGAGTGAGTTTTATTTTATATATACCAAAGCTCATTAAAGGTTCATTGAAAGGATACCTTCCATCCATTTTAATCAGTGAATGTGGGAGACTACTCCAGCTGAACATTGTGTTGACCTGGCACTGCAATTACGTACCAGTAATCTGAACACACGCTGCCTTCTGAGATTGCTACAGCTATACATATACCCAACACACCAGAAAGGAGGAAATAGAGGCATATTGCTATGTAAAGATGCCATATCCTTCCTTCCAGTGTATGTCTGGGATCTCACTGACAGCTTTTGTGGGTTGCTAACATGCAGTGGAGGTTGGCATTAATAAGCTTAAAACATATTACAGTTCACTGGCATTGGCTGTCTGTCTTAGCAGTAATAAAACACAGTAGCAATGCTTAATAGCTCAAAACGGCTGGATAAAGCTTGTGCGTTGCTCGGTGTTCAACGCAGCATAGACACCACTGCAGTCCAAGAGGAAAGGAGTTAGTTATAGCTGCTAGCTGGGAGGAGATACAAGGAATGTGTTGGTTCAGCTAGTGCTAAATATATGATACGCTTAGTTTTAATTGCGTAAGTGATCTCTGAATGCCGGTGTTTAATGAAAGCACTCACGCAACCGCCTTGCTGAACTACAGCCCCCATCCCACGGCTGGAGTGGCAGCCGTTCCTGCTTGAGGCACACGTGATGATGATGGCCCCAACACACACATGCTGAATATCTGCACTGAGGTTCCAGTCACAGTCACAGCTTTCCCCAGACAGTCGTTGAGTGGCAAAGGAGGCAGGGAATGGACTCTTCTCTGGTCAACCACAGACGACCAAACTGGAGTGAAAAGACTGCCAATACACAGCATGTGGCAATTTATAAAGCTACTTGAGCAGTAACTGCTAGATTGCAAATTACCAAACCCGCAGATTCCAACTCCCTCTTATTTTTCTCCCTTGCATCTGAGGTTTCTTATAAAAAAAGTAATGCTAAAATGTCAATAGTAAATTTAGAGTGTCAGGCTTAGTGATAGGCTGTCGAGACAAGCGGATGAGAGAACTGCAAACTTCCTCAGCCGTATTCCAATTTAAATTTGAGTGAATGACCCCCGGTTTACTTTCTAAAGATGATGGCCCGATGAACAGAGGGTGTTTTCTGGAGCTTTTCCACTCTGGAAGCTTCTTAAAGACACTGAGCTGGTGTCAGAGAGGTAGCGATGTAGTTACAGCTATGTGCAAGCACCAGTCAGTTTGTTTAGCCATGTCACTGGGAGTGAGTGACTGCCAAAGGAAAACTGCAATCTGAGCTCATCTGGGAACTGGATATAAAAGGAAACAGTCCTTTCCTGGTTCCCACCTCCCACGGACTTCCAACCTCCCTACTATTCACATGCCTTTCCCTTCAGCTGATACACTATGCTGACAGCTACACTGGTAGACCTCAACACTAAAAATCATCAGTATAGCATTGCAAGAGACATACACATCGAAACCAAAAAAGGAGAAACAAACAAAAAAACCCCAAGGAAAAACAAAACAACCAACCAAACAAAAAACAACCAAAAACTTCAAGAAAAGGAGAGGAGTGGGAAAGAATTTTTTTCTGCATAACTTTATTCAGCTTACTTTGCATCCTTTTGCAGGAGCAGTGTCCTGAAGTCTCTTTTGAAAACAAATACATTAATTTCTACTGTAAACATTCTACCTTAGCTTTTGTGCAAATACAATATCCACTTTTTCCCTCTTCAGTGAATATATATTGCATATACTTTTTCAAACAGAAGTAAATCTTATTAAATGACAGATAATTAATATGTAAATGTTACAACTGTAGTAAAACCCTGCATGCAAGCCAGCCTGCATTAACATGAATTCTCTACATCTTGAGTAGCTTTCAAGATGTAAGACAAGGTGCTCAGCACAGACTGGAAGAAATCCAGTGGTTTTTTCCTCCCTGCAAACTCAGATTGTCCTTGGATCTGCTAGGCTCATTTACCAACCTGATCCTGGCAGAAAGAGGAGCATATCAAATGAGATACCTACCGCCGTAGACCCCGAAGATGTGGCTACAAAGACTTTGATCACCATGTTGGCAGTGATGAAAATGAATCAGCAGAGCACGCCTGCTATCCCCAATCACCACAGTCCCAAGAGGAATCCAAGAGTTCAGCAGCTCCCAGGTCCTAAATGGATGCTCCCCCCCCCAGAGATCCAGCAGCTTTGGCCTCTCCCTCTCCCCAGGGTCCCAGGTTTTCCCACTCCCTTGGCTCTTTGGTATTTTGGGACGAGGGGCCAGTAGAGGATTGGTTAGTAAGAGGAGCCATAGCTAGGGGTTTGCACCTGCCCCTGGCCTTATTGCATTAGATTGACAGGGTGGCAGTCCAAAAAAGGCAAAGGAGAGTAGTGCACCAATGAGACAGGGCTGGAGAAATATTTGGAAGAGGGGGAAGGGACAAGTGAGAAGGGACAGGGAGCAGGCAACTTAGTGCCAGGGCGGAGATCACAAAGCTGTTGGGTAATGTTTAATGTTACATGGGCACTGTCACAGCTACCTCCTGCATAAAAGGGCTTGTGCCCTCTCCCTGACCACAACAAGGAGGCCTCGGAGTTGCAGCTGCAAATTTTACATTATAAAATGGGAAGGCAGAAGGTGAGGGCGAGGGGAGCATAGATGCAGAAGTAATTATAGCAGAGATCATACTGAAATAAGCCTCAGTTACAAACACTCTCAGCTTTAAAGAATTCAAATCATCATCCACACTGCAGGGCTCAGGGACTTCTCTGAAATAAATACGTGTCAGTATACTTGCTAATACTGAGGAGGGTGATTTGGCTGATTCTATGTATCCAGAACCTACTGTTGTATTTTCTCCTTTTTGCATCACCAGTGAAAATTGCCAGGGAACAAGGTGTAAGAGGAGGTCCAGAATACTTGGTTAAAAAATATCCCATTCTACTGTTATCCAGGATGCTCTTTTTCCATCTGGTTGTCACCTCTGTCTCAGAGGTGGTCACAGTCCAGTAGCTGCCTGCACATGCTTGCTTAGGGAGGTCTCTGAGCATGAGAGGTATTTTAAGAATGTTAAATGGTAACAGATTACTTTCAAATTTTAAGGGCCAAGTCAAGTTCCTTCTTCTGTGAGTGAGCGACATGCCACTGAGCACGGTAAAGCTGACCCTATGTCAGAGGTGAAGCTGGCCTAGGTTTTAGAAAGTGCTTACACACATTTCAAATGTTAAGATTGAATATAGCAGTGTCCAACCCTGCACATACGTAAGATGGAATACTTTCTTTCCAGGATTGATTAGATAGGACCAAATGCACAATAATAAAGATGTTCTTGAAAGTAAGCTTTTTGTCTAAGCAAATCACTATGTGAAGCTGGAAATGTAGTATTCCATGTATGGAACAGGATCCTGAAAAACCTCATTGACAACTACAAATAACAGTGTGGATAGTTTGCACCGTTTACTGTGGCTCACCATCTGGCATTTCTTTCTTCTTTTGAGAGGCAATAGGAGGCCCGGCAAAAAGAAAATCCTGTTAGAATCGGGTGTTTTCAGAGTATTTTCTGATAAAACAAAAAAATTCACCACCTTAGTGCAAAACCATAAATTATTGCCAGATGTTATTACACATGCTTGCTTCTCAGGAGATTTTGTACGTAAGTATAGCCCAGTAAATTCAACAGAAATGACTGCCATTTAGAATATATCATTTCCAAATTAATTTATGTGGTTACTAGTGCTCTTAAGAAATGCACGGATGCAGCCGTCATTGGCTCCAAAGCATAGTGATAAGCCTTGCAAGTATAGCGACACGAATAATTAATACTCAAAGCAGTAAATAATTGCACCATCAAACACCCACAGTCAGGACTGGGACAGAATTGCCAATTAATGCTCTCCCTGTTCTACTTCACACCTGAAATTGAGGTGCAGAATCATGATTTCACAACCAGTAAGGTTATAAAGTAGGTATGTTTATACAGTGCTGGGCACACAAGGGATAACTCCACCACAGGCATGCGCTGCTTGGAGCGGAAAACAGCCCCTTTTTATTGCTTAAAAACATTACATATTCACTAACTCTAATACATATGCATTACTACTCCGAGGATAGGGAGGGAATATTACAATTAGTTCTGAGAAATCATTAACATATCCCCCCCACCCCAAATTCCTCCTGTCACGCTTGCGCAGTGCTTCCTGGTGGTTGTGGCCAGGGGTCTTCAGATGAAGGCCCGTAGTCTTCTTCACTTCCTCAACTGTTGGCTAGTTGGCCCTTACTTGGCAAATTCAGTCCTGTAGTACACCTTGTCCTTCAAGTCTGGGCTAATTTGCAGCTCTTTTGTCTTTATGGCTCAGTGGTTTTAGTTCCTCTCTTATCTCAAGGACAAGAGGTACCAGAGATGGCCCATCCTGTCTTCCTTCCATTCAATCACAAGGGAGTTACTGTCCTTTGATGTGGACCATCAATAGCCCATCTTATTCTTTCTCATTCCACTGCAAAGGAGTTACTATCCTTTAATGGAGGCCATTGGCGAGCATCCCAAGTGGGGGGGGGGGGGCTATCGGGTTAGTGTGAGCATCCCCTGAAGGGGGGTTAGGGGGGCTACCGGGTGGTTCCTCAGATCAAACTGCCCGCTGAACTATATAGGGAAAAACAAGGATATGGAAGCCTCTGCCCACCTAGGGCTGGCATGTCAGGACTTCAGGCCACCTTCCCCGTTGCACCCAGCCTTGAAGAAAAAATACCGCTGCAGCTGCTTTTAATTCCTATGGAATTTCCATACCCCCCACCCCCCACCTATTTTCAGCATAAAAACGTTTTGTGTAAACCCAAACCGTGAGTTCGGAGCCTGCTGGATTAGGCCTGTGCGCCCTCACAGACATGACACGACACGACGCGAGGCTCCGCGGCCTGTAGCTCATGGCGCAGGGGGACCCGCTGCCTGCACCCCCCAGATTGCCACCCCCCTCCCCACCCCAAGATTCCGGCGGGCTACAGAAAGATGTGGGTGGAAACACTGAGGCAGACATGTCCGCTCGGTGCGCGGCGCGGGCGGGCAGGGACGCCGCTCCGGCCGCGACTACAACTCCCAGGGTGCCCTGCGGCCGCCCCCTGTCCCCATGGCAACGGCGACGCGGCGGTCGGCCAAGGAGGCCGGTAATGGCGGCGGGGGAGACGCTCGGGAGGGGACGGGGCAGGGCGGAGCTGGGGAGCGATGGAGGCGATTTCTTGAAAGGGCAGAGGGGAAGGTGGGATCTCCCGCTTGGGAGGTGCCCGGTGACGAGGGGCGTGCGCTCCTGCTCTACATGGAGAGCGGAGCAAGGCGGTGCTGTGCATGAGGCTGAGTGCCAGGGCCTGGGGGTGTCTGTCAGGGCGTGGGGCTGGGTGTTGAGGTGCTGAGTTGGCTGTCGGGGCATCCCCAGGCAGGGGGGCTGCAGGGCTTCGAGGCCTCTGAGGCGGCTGGGGAGAGCGGGGGGGAGGGGGGGGTGGACCCTACCAGCACCTTGAGGAGCCCAGCACAAGTGAGGGTGCTGGGGGAGCTCTGGCTTGTGTGGCCCACGCCAGGGTGCTGTTTGGGGCCCTTGGAGGAGCCTGGAGGCAGGTCTGAGGGCCCTGGGTACACCTTCACCCTTCCTGCGTGAGCCCTGGCACCCCACTCGCTTCTCCTGGGGCTGAGGGCTTGGCGGTGAGGGGCTGCTGCACCGTGCTGGTCTGGGAATCAGACAGTGTTCTCCCACCACGACTCCCCCTTCATTTACTTGCTCTGGTTTTGCACACAGACTACAATTAATTCTTCCCCGTGACAGTTTTGCAGTTTCTGGATGCTTGAAATGGCATTTTCATCTTTGACAGATAGATTTGGCCCTAATTATTCCTGTGTCTCTTCCTTCAACATTCTCCTAGTGTTTGTCCACTTCAGTCCTCCTTCAGCTACTGCTTTTCTACTTTATAGCTTCGTTTAATTTATCCGTTTCTCGTCCTTTGCCTTTTGTTTTTCTGTCTTCTCCATTTTTCTTACTTATCAACGTCTGCTCTTGAAGCTGGATGGTGACGTTCAGCCCACCCTTCTCATCAAAACAAATTAAAGCAGGAGTTTAAAGTTTAATTTAAGATAATTTGATTTAAAGTCAATTTGGCCAGAAGGTGTTGACAATGCTAAATCAAATTTAAACAGAAATACAAATCTATGTATCAAGCTGGCCTTTGCTTAATCCTCATCTTAAAATATGTGTTCTCATCTCTTAGGGGTTATTGCACTGGCTCAAATTTAGTAGGACCCTACATGTTCCTCAGTGTTCTGTAAGGAAGAGTTATTCATGGAAGGGAATGAAGAGTAATGAAACTGTTTTGATTCAATCTGGAACATTTTTTGCAATCCTAAATTACACTTTTTAATTTTCTCTGGGAGTTATGTGATTCCCCTCTCCCCTTTAAGAAATCCAATTTAATTTAAAATAAAATGCCACCACAAAGCAAAAATGCCAACAGAGGAGTCAGAATGTTCTAAAAATATCTTCTAATTTTTTTAGTGAAGGCTATCTGCTAAAATCCATCTAAACTAAAATATCACTGTAACCCCCCTTAAATTTCCTTTATGTAATTGCTATGCCCCTTTTAGACACACACACCTGCCACACACCCCCAAGTATACAACTTATTCTACTACCGAGTAGAAGTCTTCATCTATAAAGCTATGGTCTGAGTAGTCTTCACAGGATATTAAGAAAATGACATGGATTGAACCATCTCCCAAGAAATAATTTTTACCAGAACCACACTGTTTAAGTAATGCTTCCAGGAGTATGAAGTAATCTGTTCTACTCTCCAGTAGCCACAGTAGGGAAAAAAAATTGAGGTGTAACAGGTATTCACAAAGACACAGAAAATTAGGCAGCATTCTGTGTTTTATGCTAAATGTATGGGTTTTTAAAAGCCAAACAATTAGGAGAGTTTGTTTTATTTGAAAATTGGACATTTGAGAAAAGACAATTCCAGAGGAAGCAGCAATGATCAAACAAAACAACATCATCATCTCATCAGAGAACCACATCTCTGACAACAACAGTGCATTACAGGTGGTATTTTCTGAGCTATATGGCTGCATAAATATGGACATAAGTGTCCTGCAGCGTTTTCAAAAGCAAACAAATGTGTTAAATACAGTTAGGCTGTAAATAAATTGTTTTCATTAAAAAAAACACTGAAATTTTCTCCAGTGTTTCTTCTGAAATTGTGCAGAGACACTTTTGTTACATTGTGAGGTTATTTAGCAAGCTTCTATGTTTTTACAAAAAATTCTGATTTGAAAATAAATAAAATAAACAGCATCCCCAAAGTTTAAGAAAACCTTTATTTCAGTCTCTAAGCCAGATACTCTGTTGTGCAGCTTTATGTCCTGCTATATCCTCTACCTATAATGTTAATATGGCAGATAAGATTTTTTTTCTCTTTTAATGCATAAGTTAATATTGTGATCAGATTTATGATCTAGTTATTGAAAAATGTGACAAAATTATATTTTTATGACATTAATGGAAAACTAAAAATATTATAAAAACACATAAATATCCAGTTTCTAGAGACATGAACAACTGTTTTTTTAATATTGTAAAGTGCTTTGTACGTATTGAGCATAAATACAATTACATGTCTTTTAAATTACATTGATCATGGAGAAAATGTATACATTACAGGAAGCAAACTATGGTATCTATTTACATTTAAATGGTAGTATTTTGTAAATCTTTAGAAAATTCATGCCAGTATCATAGTAAATTCTGAGATAAAAATTAGTATATTTTGTATTGCAGTTCGTTCTGGAAACCAACTCACCCAATTGCTACAGACCACACAATTATTTGAATGGGTTAAAGAGTAATGACTGTTTTTTTTTAAAGGTAACTTAGTATTTTTTAGCATCACATATGATAGTTGAACACTGTTTTGTACTGTTTATGTTAACTTTAAGGAACTCAATAACATTCTGATTCCTGATGGGTTATGGAGGTCAACTTTTAAGTCTTCTACTGTAACATAACAGTGAACTCATATGATTGTTTCCTCCATATTTTAGTGACAGAAGATAATAAGTCAGAACGTGGCACAAAAAGCAGGGATACTAAAGATTCCCCAAAGCACAGAAGTATCAGAAGCAGCAGCTGTAGCAGCAGAGGTAATGATTGTATGCGACACAGTACAGAATACAGAGGTGAAAATTACCACACTAACTATTCTGAGGCCTTTGTCAGTGACTTGTCCTGAAACAGCTAGAAGCAGCAAACATTTAGAAACATCAGGAACTGAAGAGAAGAAAACACAGGAGAAAGAGAAGAAGAAAAAAGGACAGCATATCTTCCCCCAAGATGATATAAAAGGTACTTTGTTTGCTGGTAGTAGTAGAAAGAGACTTTCTTGTAGATAAACAGAAGAAACAGGTTTTCAGTGAAGAACAATAATAAATCCTGGTTTAAACACTAGGAAGGGGAGGGAAGAGAGGTAGAGATTCCCTATTGTGTTATCCCACAATATGTGCCGATCCAAAAGGCAGAATAATCACCTGAGATGTGGGAACACCTTTGCAATCCTTATTTCTCAGTTTTAATCTGAGGACTTGAAAATGGCTCTCCCACACATACTGCAAGTTCTGATTTTGACCATACATCACATGATGAGTCTGAAAAACCCTTTCCTGAGGGAAGTTGCTCAAAAACTATATGTCTGTACAAAAGTGTCAGTTTTGACAAAAAAACCCACATGTTTTGGCCAACTTAGTCATGGTGTATCATGTAAAATTAAGTTTGTGCTTCAATGGAATGACCATATAGCACAAATATATTTCCCTTACGTAAATGTTAACAGTGAAGAATCTTCTCACATCTGCATGTTTTTGTATCTAGATCCATACTTTCTTAAATTACACCATGCCACGTCAAAAATTGAGTGTAAAACCAATGACCCTTTTCCTGCTGAGCTTCAAATTTCATCTAGATCTACCAAATCCACAAGATGCAAATCAACCAAAAAAAGAGAGAGGCTACTGATTACCTCTTCTAATATATAAGTTATGTGCTGCTGTCAAGAAGTCATACTGGTGTGAAACTAGCAGACCAGAAAGAATAACCATATTTTTCAGATCTATTTAGCAGAAGGATCATTAATGGCTACTAGCTGTGTTGGATATTTTAAGTGGTTATTTTTGCTTGTTCACGGATACTTGAAATGATCAGTTTCCCATGAACACAATTACAACCTACATTTTCACTCTATATAGACATGTATAGATTTTACAAAATTTTTGTCAGCTTTTGCAGGAGGGTATTTTCCCATTCCTTTTATATCCTCTCATTCCATTCTGTCAAAAAAAAAAAAAAATCATGTAATGGCTGTTCTTATTTTGCAAATATTTGTGTGACAACATTTGTAATCATACTGTAGTCTTCCTGCAGTGGAATTGTATTACAGAGAGCATGCAGGTATGATGCTTGCACACCTTCCATTTGCTTTGTTTTTTACCTCTGGTGAGTTTTTTTCACAGCACCTGTTAATTTTGCTCACTGCAGAAGGTCTGGAACACATCTGACCTCAACTGGCTGCTATAATCTGTTTACTCGAACCTCCACAATAGTCCCTCTTAATCCATTTAAAACATATGTAAAAATAATATAACTGCCCTGCCCAAATCACAGTCTCTCCTCCTTTTGATTCCAAATCTCAGATTCTTTCTATCCTTTCCTTCTGCTGTCACACTGAATTTGATAGTCTCTTCTCCCTGTGTGGCTCAATGAGCAAGGTCCTACCAGCTTGCCCCTGCTTTCTCTCCTCTGTCAGCAGGGCCATCAGAACAAAGACCATCTGGTTTGTATCCTGAAACCCCAGAGCGGATCAGGTATTTCAGGAATGAGAGCAAAGGACAGACAAAACTGTATAACTGACCCCCTTCATACTTTCCTCCAACTTGCAGCCTCGCACACCAGGCACGTGGGTGTCAGGCCCGAGCCCAACCCCAGGCCCTGCGGCGAGAAGGGGGGAGCAGAGCTGGGCTGAAGCTCTGGAGAACAGGAAGGCTGGTGGGGCTGCTGCCAGCTGGGAAGGAGAGAGAGCGCTAGAGGTGTTGCTGCTGCAGGGAAGAGCCCTTTCCCCACTGAAGCCATTGCCCCACACATCTCTCTCTTCCTAGATAACACTCTTTCTGTAGCTTTTCACTCTTCTGGCTTAGGTCATGGAATGAGCGAGGCCGTGGTGTGGTGGTGCCCTAGGCAGTGTCCTGCTTTATTCTTCCTACCACTGGTTTGATGTTGCTTCCCATCTGCAACGGGATGTTCTGGCTGGGGCAGAACACGCACTGAATTCAACAGAAGTGCTTGAAAAGATCTGTCCTTTTCATCTGGTGTTTTTTAGGTTAGGACCTTGCCTATTTTATCCCTAAAATGTTATATCATAAAAAAAAAAATATTGCAATAAACTTCTAGCAAAATGCTTTGAGAGCTACAGTGAAATTGAGTATATGCCTGAAAAGGGGAACGCACTCAGATTTACAATCTTGACTATTTTCAAATTCTAATTATCTTTCAGGAAAGGAAAATTAAAGTCATTCACTCAGAATGCTGGCCATAAACGAAGGTAAATGGCAGTAATACACTTAGAATGCTAGCCCATACAGATTTTTTTCAATTGCTGCATAGAAACAGTATACGCAACTGCATAACTGTTCTATACTAATAAGCATGCAAGGTTTAAAAATGTAGTTCAGTTAAAAGCTGACTTGAAAATTCTAGAAAGCTGGTTAGAAATCCTAACTGCAGAGAAATTTAACCATGTGCTATTGTGATCACCTTGGATTTTGAGTTCTTGCAGACCTGTATGGTCTGAAAAAACCTATGTTGTTTTTTTTTCTATCACCCCGCTATTCAAGGTGTAGGTCCTCCCTCTTGGGAATCTTTCTAGATGGGTTGAGTTTGGTTCATCAGTCCCTAGATCATGGCTACATTAGTGAACTGCATGGTTTACAGAGAGAAAATTTATTTCCATTGATGTTGGAGTAATGTCTTAACATAAACATGCTTTACTAAGTTATTCCCAGAGTATTATTGCTGTTTACCTCAGAAGACAACCTGTGGGGTTACCTTTATTAATGCAAAGTGGTCATGATGGCTGTTTCAAATGAAAATGCCTTCAGAGAATGAAAGAAGAGAACCTTGACCTCCTATAGACCTAGTTAGCTATGGCCCAGTTCAGCCACATAAATGCACACATAGAGATACAAAATTTTTAATGGATTTATCTGTGAAATACTTGAACTTTGGAGTCATAGTATAGATCTTGGGCATTTTGTCACATGTACCACAGTTAAGTAGCTTGGATGAGCAGTATATGAGCTTGTGTGAGCAGTAAAGACATGCAATGATTTTGCTGTCTCTAATGATTGCTATATATCAATGCCAGTCTGCTTTGGTCTGAATACAGGAGGAAAAAAAATACCAGCTGAGAAGACACCACATCAGAATTCTTCATTTTTAAGCCTGCAGAGTAGTATGATTTCCCAGAAAAAAAATGCAGTGGCTCAGCGAATATCATCAACAAGACTTCACAAAATTAAAGAGCTGAAGAATGAAATATTTGATTTACAACACCAATTAGAAGCATCAAGCTTAGAAAACCAGGTTTTGAAACGACTTCAGTGTCAACACTCGAAAGCAATACATAGATACGAAAATTCAGAACGTAACTTGCCAGATCTTTTAGCAAGTCACTATAATGAGGTGAGAGCCTTAAGGAAACTCCTGAGGATGTCTCAGGAGGATGAGAGAAATACATCCAAGAAGCTCAGAAAAGTTGAAGCAGAGCTGCTAAAAGCTAGAGATGCTTTGCAGACCTTGCATATGCTTTCAGAAGACAAAGCTCTTGCAGAGAGAGAGGAACTTGGTCACAGATTATCAGTCCTTACAGAAAAAATGGACGTGAATTATAAGAAAATACAGGTAATAGGTACATATCACTGTATTTGTGAAACAACAATAGGAGAGGTTTCTGTGCAAGAATTGTGGAAAGTTTTTAGCTGCTTGCTGTCACATTAATGATTCTGATACAATCCTGTAACACTGAACATTCTTTTTAATCCAGTGCTGTCCTGAGTATAAGGTACTAAAAATGGTAGTAGTACCCGCTTCCAGTAGTTTAAAATCTGACAGAAATGTATGAATAGATTAAGTCTGGCAATAAAGTTCTTTCAGGAATTAAGTCAAATGCCTTAATAGGTCAGAAGCGTAGCATATAGCTGGAGAGCCATCTCGAGCAGAGTGCCTACTCTGCTCCCTGCCAGCAGCATGGGGTACCCCCGCTTGCTTGGGCTGCCTAGACACAGTGGCCCAGACCCTAATTCACCTTGGCAAAGCACAGGATTACTCCTAGTCATATAGTGAGAACACCATGCTGCTGCTGTTCCTTGAACAGCTAAAGCTGGCTTATCTGGAACTAGCACTGTTGCTTTGACGTGGTGCTGGTGGGCAGTATGGACATACCTACATCTCCTGTTCACTAATTACTGTCACTCACTGTAGGTGGCTGTAGGGCGGCTGCTGAATTAAGCAGTAATCAGGTGTCCTAGATTTTAGGGTTGGTTCTACTGTTGGCCTATTATCCAACTGTAGTAAAAGCCTGGTGGGAGTTTAAGAGGAGATAATTCAGCTTCTTTTAATATTAATATGTCATGCTTATTTACTCTTAGTGAAGCTTTCACAAAAGGACAGGAATACAGTTTTTAATATAAAACTGGAAGAGTGAAATTTCCATTGTTTTCCAGGAATTAATTTCTCTTTTCTATGGGGTATATTATGCATAGAATTAAGTAAAGAGCCAGGTAATCTTAGGGGCATTTCACCATCTGAACAGCTAGGTCTGAGGTACATTTATTACATGAAAGAAGATTAAAATTTCAACAGCTGAATTCAGAGTCCCTTTTGAAAACTTTCTATTTACAGAACTCCTAGTGAGAAGCTATAAAAAGCATGCAGGGTTGGGTGTCCACTTTACAGTTTTAGTAACTATAGTTTCAGTGCATGGCACTGGGTTCTGATGATGAAGTACTCTATAAAATACTCAATAAATTACCTAGTTTTCATTTACACTAAGCCTCCTTATGCTGCTGCAGTTAATAGATCTCAGTGTGAACAGAAATGTTGTCTTAACATTTCTCAGAGATGACTGTATTCATTAATCCATCAGAAAGGTAATGTACAGCCTTATTTTTTATGCTTGAATGCCGAATATATGTTTTTTGTTTAATGAAATTAGGTTTTAAACAAGTTATTGTTAACTTTTAAGGTAATTTTTCAGATACTTCATCATCATTTCATACATTGTTTACAATAGAATATAATTATCAGAAGCTTACTTTTCATTACATTAGCATGCTTATTTTTCAAATCTGTTAAGAACTGAAATTTTTCAGCAGTAGTACTGACTTCATCAATATGGTAAAATATATAATTTTTTTAAGAGCCTAGAAAAGCAGCTGAAGTTGAACAATAGCACCTTTAGTCGTCAGCTGGCAAATGAGAACAAAAAGGCTGTGGAAGCTGGGATAATTACAAAGAATTTACAAATGGAAATTAACTCTCTTCACCGGAAGATTAAGGTATTCAAGATTTTAAACAGGTTTCTGTTCCTACAAGAAAATTCAAGTATTTATTGTTACCTATTCTCTTTGCCTCTTTTATATTATTTAGTAATGGAATTTTTGTTTCCTAGTTGAGTCTATAGTTTACAAAAAAAGGTCAAAATATCAAATGATTAAATTATTGTACGGTCTATTTGTCAAAAGTTGATAGTTCAATAACTAATCAAAACAGAGATTAATGCATCACAATTTGAACAAGTAATCCACACCAACTTGTTCCCATTTTGGTAGATCTAGGTCAACGCATTCATCTACTAGCTTTAAGTGAGCTCCCTTACAGAAACACTTTCAAATCAAAATGAGCCAAATATTACAGTCTGCAAAACTACAGTTTAACAAAAAGACTTACATAAATGTTCCAACAGTTTGTTTAAATTCAAACTTAGTTTTTAGACAAATATTTGGGGGACAAATATGTCCAGTTCAACACTTCCTGTAATGCTTGTAAACCAAACATACAGGAAAACTTAAAAGTGACACTAAAGGGAAATAGAAAAAAAAATGCCATTAATGGTATGTCATATGAGTTGTAAACAAGAAAAACAGTACATGTTCCAGAAAACATGAAAACCCTTGTGGCTTTTTAATAACTTAAACTGTATTTGTAACACAGTTAAGACATACTTTTTTAATTTCTATGTAAAATGACCGATCCATTTGTTGATCCCAGTTGGGACCTTTCTCTTTCCAAATGGAATCAAATGCCTGTGAAAGATGTAGCTGCGGGGAGTTTCCCCAGGCATTGCGAAGGGCAAAACAGGCAACTCCTGAGGATTCATGGAGATTTGCATTTCTGCACAGGGGCATTGTCTGTTCCTCTTACCTATGTATCGGGTGCAGAATCTTTCCTCCTGATATTTGCCAGCAGCCGGGCTGCCCAGCTGCAAAAGCCCAGTGGGCTGTTGGGGAAAGGAAGAAAATGCAGTGCTCTTCCCCGGCCCTGTATCAGAGTCCCCTGACCAGCACTTGCAGTGCTATTTCCCTGCCAGACCCTGATCTCCTCCTGCATGCACAGATCTGGGAGATGGGTGTAATTACAGTCCCAGGAACACTAGTTATTCCAAATTATTCTAAAGTACAGTTCTCACCTTAACACTTCTCTAAAATATTTCATGTGTTGGTTTTCACACAGCTTTCTATGTGTGTCCAGTTCTTGTAATGTTATATTTAGGTTCAGAAAACCTTCTGCTGTTTTACCACAAAGACCAGACATGCTTATTGACCTTACATCTGTGGGACTACAGAGTTTATTCTTACACATTCCCAGTTTTGGGCACCTGGCTTATTCAGACCGTTCAAGGCATTCATTCAGACACACTTTCAGGACAACCTGTATCTCCAAAGTAAATGCAGCTCCTGGTTTTCACACTAAAAACCGATATGGTGAGAGTATTACTGAAATCTCTCTTCTGTGTTTAAGACAGATTTCAGTAAGGAAAGAGGACTGTTGCTAAATAAATTTTAAAATTGTGCCTCTGAAGTTTATGTCATCTCCCAAGCAATAGGTTGTAAAACAGAACTGAGCACATTGTAACCACGGGCACTGAGTAAATAAATGTAAAAAATGAAGGAAGTAAAGCCAAAAAGTACTTACTCTGAAAGAAATCACTTAGAACAACAAATGAAAAAATCATTAGAGAAGACTTCATCTTCTGAGCACTGTGTTATGAAAAAGAACATGTAGGTGTACAGATGTGTTCGTAGCCTTAAAAAGGGAGAATTTTGTTTTGGCTCATGAAAGTAAATGACAGATTCCTATTTATGTAAATGACAGTCACCGCATGACCTGGCACAAAGCAAACTCACAGTTTTCTCCCAACATGGGAAAACTAAGTTGATAAAAAGTAATTCTTAATGCATATTAGAAGTTTAATAGTGTTTATTTCTTCTTAGGAAAAGGATCGGCAACTTTATATAAAAAATATCTATGCAAATCGGATGCCTAAAATCCCAAAAGACAAAAGTGATTCAGTACCTCATGAAAAAAGTATGTGGATATTCATTTTGCTTTTTTGTTTAGTTTTTTGAAGCTTACATTGTTTTATAACTGGGATGTATATTCCAAAATAAAAGCCAGTATAGTATTTTTATATGGGCTAAAAATATTTGGTCACATGTAATTTAAAGAGAAGTGCTTGGTTTTTTGCTCATTTATTATTGCGAATACAAATACATGATCCGTTTTTAATATTTAACTCAATTTTCATCATGAATAGTGTTTAGCATACATAGTTTTAGTATACTAACAGTGACACTGAAGCAGTGCTGCTATTTTAAGTGTCTGTTTGCATCAAGAACTGCTTGACCATTTGTTTTTTAACAAGGTGAAGCTGTCAGTCTACAAAGCTTTTGCAGACTAAGTGTTGTTCAGGCTGTTCCCTTTGACTTGGCCTGGAGAAGCGGCCACCCTAGACCTAAATTCCCACATTGCTTCCTGGGCTGCATCAAGAGCAGTGTGGCCAGCAGGTCAAGGGAGGGAATTCTCCCCCTCTGCTACGCTCTTATGAGACCCCCCCTGCAGTGCTGTGTCCAGCTCTGGGGCCCCCAGCATAAGGACATGGACCTGCTCAAGGGGGCCCAGAGGAGGCCATGAAGATGATCAGGGGGCTGGAGCACCTCCCCTACGAGGACAGGCTGAGAGAGTTGGGGATGTTCAGCCTGGAGATGAGAAGACTGGCAAGACCTTATAGTGGCCTTCCAGTACTTAAAGGGGGCTACAGGAAAGATGGGGAGGGACCCTTATCAGAGAGTGTAGGGATAGGACAAGGAGTAACGGTTTTAGACTGAAAGAGGGTAGATTTAGATTAGATGGAAGACAGAAATTCTTCACTGTGAGGGTGGTGAGGCACTGGCACAGGTTGCCCAGAGAAGCTGTTGCTGCCCCCTCCCTGGAAGGGTTCAAGGCCAGGCTGGAGGGGGCTTTGAGCAACCTGGGCTGGTGGGAGGTGTCCCTGCTTGTGACAGGGAGGGGTGGAGCTGGAAGAAGGTCTTTAAGGTCCCTTCCAACCCCAACCATTCTATTATCCTATGATTCTATGACTCTATGGCTCACTAGCTCAAAGCATCTCACAAACAACCCTCCTAGAACAAGTTCCTACTTTTCATATAGACTTTCAAAGTGTTTTTATATGAGCAAAAATAATCAATTTAATTGGGTCTTTAAAAACTGTTTTCTCATCTTAAATCCTTAGACCCTGTAACTTACAAATAGCAGAGATTATCCATTATTGAAGCTCCTGCAACTTGCATTTTCTTGGGGTAAACGGAGAGAAGTTTTCAGATGCAAGGTTTGGGAAGTTTAAAGGCCAGGCTGATGATCCTACTGTCAGCTTACCTGAAAGAAGAGAATGTTTATCCTTAGTAGTCCTTTGGTTTTTAGCTTAAGTAAATTTAAATGGGCAACCAGAGTTCGTAATAACCCAGTTGTTTTATATCCTCTCAATTCTATCCACAGAATTGCTGTTATTTAGAGTAATATAGTAGAATGGTAGGAAAGAACAATAGGAAGTTAATTCTATCAAGGAAGAAAGAGCTTTTCAGTAAAGAGTATTTCTTCCACATGAATGCGCAGACAGGTTTGGAGAAAAATATCCATTATATGCAATCTTGTTTGTCAAACATTTCAAGAGCAGCTACCTTGTGTGGGATTCATCTGCCTAATTATAGTCATCCAGTGCCATTTGAGATGTCCTAGCACATTCTGCCTGACCCTGTAGTTGTTGTTCCAGAAGGATACGGGTGTCCCATCAGTCCTATGTAATATCAGCCAGCCTTCTGTGGATACCCTGAATACTCAAGGGCATCTCAAATAGCATGAGGCGCCTGTGTTGAGACAAGTAGATCCCACCCATTGAACAGAGGGAGCAACAGCTAAAAACAATCACAAATCATAGAAGGCAAGAACTGTTACGTTGCCCATGTGCTCACTATATTCATCAGGGGCAAAAATGTTGAAGAAGATAGTTTTCTTGTAAAACTTACAAATTTCTAATTGTCAGATGTTTTAGATGTAGTATCTAGAATTTACTAATAGATATGTTTTATACGAAAGTAATACAAAGATTTCAAATACTTTCCCCACACTGAAAGTAGTATTTTTCCTCCTACTCAGGATCATAAACAATCTGTCAGTTTCCTAAAGGAGAGCTTTCTGCACAACAAACCTACCCCCTTAATTTTGGGTAACAGTCTGAACATTGACTTTTGTGGGTAAAACACCTCTTTAAAATACTTTCTTAACATAAGACCATAAAAACTTTCTTCTTATGGGTACAGAAGAGCCCTTAAAATTTACATGGTAGCCAACCTATCTTGCTGGAAATATTGCACGTGCCCACAGAATTCTTCAAATTATGGTATCAGTACAAAGTCTTATCCTAGTCAGTTGCTTATTTCTTTCCTCTTCATTGCCTCTGCAAATCAATTACTCTGCCTTAAATACAAGTGAACTGCAGGGAAAAGGTTGGTAATTCAAGCTTTAAAATTAAACCTGACAAATTCCTGCTTCTCATTCTAAGCCAGACATGGTTTTCTAATGAAGTTCTGAATTCCAATTTTAGTTATGTCACATAACCAGCTGTGTTTTTTAAAATTTTACTGACATACGGACTTGTACAACATTGTTATTTAAATTGCAGTACTTAAATCACTGTTTACTAGTTAAGATCTTTTCTTTAAGCAAGATAAGGGAGCTTAGTTGGAGAAGAGACCTGATATTTTGTAATGAAAAGGTTCCAAGCAGAGTTGACTGATCTTTTGGTATTTTTGACCAAAAAAGGTTTCATTCTCTGCCAGTTAATGGAAGCAGATGATTTAGAAATCTAGAACTGGAATTACTGACAATTGTTTTTTCTTTTCACTACTGACTTGAATTTTCCTATAACAGAAAGAGCTACTTCTTCAAGTAGTTATTTTCTGTTCTGTGTTTGCAAAAATTTTTACCCAGCATGAAAGAAAAAAAGAAATGTGAGGCTGCATTTTTTGCCACTTCTGATAAATAGCTGAAGGTGGGCTTGCTTAGGTTATCAGAAAGCTCTATGTACATAAGTAAAACTGTTTTATTGAACGAAGCCATTAATTTCATAAACTCTTCAGGAGAGCAAAGTTTGCTCAGTTGTGGGAAGGTGAGACCAGCTCATCTAGAGGTACAGCTCCCCCTAGTTCTGAATCTGAGGAACGCTCTGCCGATTTCTGTTGAAAAACCTGCTGAAGTAGCTCCTTGTTGGTTGCTTTTCAAAAGGGAAAACTAGTTCCCCCCACATCATCCTCCATAACGAGTAATCCTCAAATTGGTTATCAACATCCTTTTTACCACCAAGCTGCAAACATTTGAAAGTCACTATTTTAATGGAGAGTCTATCTCTGATTTCAGAGATCAAAACTGGGAATAAGGTTGAATTTTGACGTAGGTAAGATCACATTTTTGCTGCTGTGCTAGCAACTTTCTCAGCTACTGTGCTCATGTAAAAATTATTCTAAAAATAATATAAACCAACACTAAACTCACCTCCCCCATCCTATCCCATCTCCATTCAGCTATTTCTTTAAATGTCTCATCCAATCACTCCCTTGGAAACTGTTTTCAAAGACCGCAGATATTTCAAATAGTGTTCAGCATTTCCTTTGAAGAGTTTGGTTCCATAAATCCTTACATAAGTATTTAACTTTGAGAAAGGTGAGTAACCAAGTCAGAAGGCATAAAACCAAGCATGTTTATTATACTCTGTAAGATCCACATTTAGGAACCTGAAAGTTGAGGTCCCCTACCAGACCTCTTAAATTTACATTAGAATGTTACCACACAGACTAAGCCCGTATGGGCTCTGAGGTACAGACACATTTGTCTGACTTTGCATGTTCTATCTGAACAGGACTTTGTAGATCTAAAACTTAAGTATCTTTGTGAGGTACTGATATACAGATGAAAACACTCAAAAGTCCAAGTAGCTATGTTTGTGTTTCAGCATTCATAAATCAGGCAGAACAAAGAATTTCTTTATTAAAGGGCATTAAGATGTGGCAAAAAAAATGTTTAATGCCTAGGCCACATATCTTTGACAACTGATAATACTGGTATCTTTTGTTTATACCAACAATATAATTCCAGAAACTACTGTATTACTAACAACTGTCCTTTTTCAATAGGTCTTAGTATAAACAGATCGGTACAAGTAGATAAACAGAGTTTTAGATCACTGCTGCTGTCACACTATCAAACTCGGGAAACAGAAAAAAGCCCAATTCAGCAAACAAAGGTAGGAAAGATCTGGATCCAATATCTTGTTTAAACTCTCAGCTAAGCTGTCTGTTATTCTGTCAACTTCAGTGATATGCCTGAATAGTCTGATCCATCATCTTAACTTTCTAGGGTGTGGATTTTGTGTGAACGTAATTATATTACAGAAAATATTCAGGACAAACTTAGTGATACAAAATGAGCATATAGTAGTAAAAGAAACCACTAATATTTTTATAAGTATTGCACTGACAGTGCACTTTTAAAAGTAACTAAACAAGTATTCCCTCATTATTTTTAACCTTAATTAAAAGGAGAAAAAGGTTTCAGAAGATAAGAACCAAGAAACTAAAGCAAATGAAGTATACACAGATGCCCAATGTAGAACAGAAAAGCAATCAGCCAAGAAAATACCAAAGCCAGAAACCCTTAATGGAACACGTAGAGGTATATTTTAACATTTTTCTCAGAAACTCATTTGATCTTTTTGAAAGTTGAATGAACCAGTGGCATTGGTAATTTACATGGGTCTGACAGCCATTAGCTGGCACCTGACTGACAGGAACTAGTTCAACAAAGTAATGTACAAAGAGTCACTGAAATCCAGCTGTCGGTGGTGCTGCACTGGCAGCAGAGCAGCTCCCCAGTATAAGGCATCTTCATACTGCTGTACTTCTAAAATCAGTTCCTGGTTATGTTGGTAAAAAGTCAGTGCTTTATCTGTAAAAATATACTTTAGTTAATATCTTGTGAATTCCACACTAATCAAATACCAGTCTCAAATTGTTGGTTGTGAACCTTCATCACAGCTGATGTCAACATATATTTCTGGCTCAAGATCTGTTGCTGAGAAAGGAAAAGGACTTCTTCAAGAGCTGGGAGTATCTCCTCATTACAGTGATCACTGTAAATAGATTTAATGTAAATCTTAGCTACTGACTGTGTTCTTATATAAAAGTTATATGCAAGGGACTCATCTATAAATACCTTTATTTTGAAAAAAATCTATAGAACAGAAGGAAGGAGCCAGTGCATCTATTCCTTTATCTGAGTTTTTATTTCTAAAAATATTCCAGTTATTTTCATTGTAGTAAGGCTTGTAGAAAGAACCAAGACCTGAATGCCATCATGCTAAATATTTCACAAATGGTAGATGTTACATGACCTAAAGGTCACACATTTGCAGAGGTGAAACAGGTTGTTGAGGTCACTTACTAGGTCAGTAACAGAGCTAGTAATCTGGAATGCATTAACTCCCGTGTTTTGTACTCTGCCTTTTCAGGCTGCAGCCTTTCCAGACCCCACCAGATAACCAAAGCCACCATCTGTCTTTGAAATCCCCTTTTAAAATTGACAGAAAACACAGGTCTTCTGATTTGGCCTGTGAATCTCTCTCCTTACTGCTTGCCAGACTCTCTTCTGGCTTTTTCCTACTGCCAATATTAGACTTATTGAAGTCTTATTTAGCTATTTTAGTTGTTGCTACTTCATACTTCTCCTTTAAGCTTGGACTCTATCTCATTTTGGAGGTACTCCTCGAGTCTCTCCAAAGCACAGAACCTACTACAATTTGTCCCCTGCAGCAGACAAATGTATTTAACTGTAGGCATTCAGTATACGCACACCTTTTTCTACTGAAAAGTGGAGCCAACTCCTTTATAGGTTAGAGTTGCAGTATATTCTGCTCCAAGCAACAAGCAACTGTGTTGTCAATTAAGGCAACGAAAATCATACATATAATTTAAGTTCCATTTAAAAGCAAGAAAATTACACTTGGAGTTCGGATCTCATGTGGTTTCTCTGTTGCACTGTACATGACTCTTCTGGCCCTATATTTAACCATTACTGATTATATTTGCATGCTAATTCATTTAATGAAATTAAACATAATGAAAAATTTAAAAATAAAAATATTTACCTGGATTCAATAGCACAATGATCTTGTTTAAAACTTTCCCCATCCTGTCATATTTATTCGTAAATAGCATTGTCATAGCCCTCAATACTGAAATACCATCAAGAATAAGAACTTAAGCAATGAAATAAGAAGTGAAACTTGCTCTCATTAATGCTTCATGACTCTGTTCCTAGGCAACTTAAGAACATTCCTAAAACCCACAATATTTCATTTTAGAGTATTTAAGGGAGGGCAGATTACTGATGGAAGAATATACTTGTTTGGAATTTATGAAAGAAAGAGAGACAGATTTACTTCAACAGCGGCTGAAAAAACTGATGAAAATGGAACACACTCCTCTAAGTGACACTGTAAAAGGAAACAACTATGAGGAAGCCTATGAAAAAGAAAAAAAGCCAGATGAACAGCTACCTAATGGTGAGAAGGCAGGGAGTAAAAGTCTAACTCCAGGTCCAAGAAACAAAACACCCCTTATGCTGAAAAAAAAGTACATATTCCCTGAAGCCACTGAGAATTTGTATCATGGGCTTCTTACATCAGGTACAAAACCAAAAAGAGGCAGTCTCTGCAACTGTAGACATGTGGGTCAGGACGGCAGTGAAACAGCTGAATCAAAAGTGAAAAATTCCTTTGGGCTGTATGAACCATCTTCTGGTAAAGCTACCAAAACAAGGCAGAAGGACAGCTCCACTGAAGCGGAAGGCTGTGCTCATATGACATTTGCTGAAAGGAAAAAGTCTTATGAAAGAACGCTTTGGACCAGGCTGTGTTTGAAGAGACAACCATTCAAGTTCTAACATGAGAGGAATGAAGAAGGAGAAGGGATGCAGGATTATACAAGCCACATTTCAAACCACCTCTACTAGTTCATAATGTAAAGCATCTAACACCAGTGAAATAGTAATCAATAACCTCATGAGAATACACAAATGAATTATTTTGCTATTTAGTTAATTACATCAACTTGTCTTTAGCAATAAGGATATTTAAAATATTTATAAAAAAACCCTAATGTTTTTACCTTCATTAAATGCATATTAAATCTGACAAGTGCTGAGAATGTCTTTCAGTGATTTTTCCAAAATGACAGTCAAATCAGTTGTCACAAAAGAACATTCTTCTGTTCTGGGCCTGTGTGCACGCATGTGCATCTTACCAAGTGTCTTAACAATTACAATGTTTTTACCTGTCATCAGGTGTCCAAGTTAGTCCTTGTTTCATAATTTCCTTTTTTTGCACGCTCTCTGCAGTTGGAATTTTGAAGCTGATTATTTGTTAGCTAGCTGAAGTGAGCAATCTGCTTTCATAAGGTTCATTATTGGGTTAGTACCAACAATGCAATAAAAGAAAATAATTTTTTATTTTCTTCACTCCTGAAATAGCTTCCAGAATTCACACATAATAAAAATAATTTGCTATTACATTGTTTTCACTAGCATTATAAAGCTCTAAAGCTTCGTTCTTTTCCACTGTTAGAATTTATCAAAGCAGTTTGCCTGGTAACTTCCACAGCTGACATCCAAAGATGAATGTGCAAGAGTAAACTATTGTTTTGGAGAAGTCAGGCATACCGAGTTCTCAAAAAGCCTTTAAAAATCCTGTGTTTAAGGTTATGTAAGCGAGGGTAGGAGGATTACGTTTTGTTCCTCATAGTAATTCATTAAATGCTTGCTAAAATGGTGCAAAGTTAGGGAAAATTATGTGTGTTCTATTAATTTTAAAAGGCAGTAGCACTTAAGAAAAAAAAAAAAAACCTTCAAAAAACTATACTGCAAAAACTTTTAAAGGTGATTAAGACATTTAGATCTGAAGCTACGTGCAGCATATTTCTTTTCAAAATTTCTAAGGTTCTTCTTGAAGTAGTGCTTAAGCTGTACAGTGGACAGGTTTCAAAGCAGGATTTTGTGCAGACAGAAAACTCAGTGTTTCTCCTCTATGAACTATTAATACTTCTACAGTGCCTTAACTGCTGTCCCAAAGCTAAGTGCAAACAAGCCCACATAACCCAACACCTCCTATTCACACTGACCAGGTGACCAAAAGCCTTTTTGCCCTTACTCACCCAAATGTTTCACTGGAGCAGCCAATAAACTGCGTGTTTGATGACCCCACACTAAGTGTGCATAAACAGCAAATGCCACTGTGAAGATTTTAAATGATGCTGCTTTTCTGGACTTTACTGTGTTGAAGTAACTCTGTAACAAGCTACGTAGAAATATCATTAGCCACATCTTTAGATTCAGAAATATGTCAATGTCATAGCTAAATAATCTGTCCCAAATACTTTAATATAAAAAAATAAATTAGCCCAGTTGATTCCAACAGTATCTCCTTTTGCAAGAATATGGGGCGGGCAGGGCAGGGCCTTGTTGGTTTGGATTTTTTATTGTGGTTTGGGTTTTTTTCTTTTTTTTTTTTTTTTAGGAAAATTGTAATTAACATTGAATAATTGGTTAGAAAACCTGAGATGGGTTGAAAAGCTTTATTTCGTTAATAAAAATACACTTAGACATAACATTCAATCACAACAGTTTTTCTTGATGATATTTAATTCATCTATTTTCATGCTGGCTAAATGTAATCCATAATATGAAAACAACTTAAAAAAAAATAACATTAAAAAAACACCCCACATTTCATGCATCTATACACACAACATATCATGAACTTTTGAACTGATTTCTAAATGCAGTGCTAATTATGGAGGGGCCCTAGCTCCCTCCTTCCTGCAGGAAGGCAAAGGACCTAAAATAACATAGCAGACACATTCCACTACAGTGGGAAGCTGAACCCAAAGTGCCAAAGCCCAGCACAACAGGGAAAGGTGTCCCCTAGAGCTTTGTTCAGGCTCACGTCAAAAAAAAAAGGAGGTATGGAACAAGAACTTTATCAACCCACCCGTTTGTCTTATGGGGCAGCAACGACAGGGTTGCAGATCCCTGTAGTGTAGAAGATAACACAACTTTGTCACTATCCTACAGGCACAGTATTAGGAAGAATTCTGTCCTTTAAACTGAAAATATTGTGGCTGTTTCCTGTACCTAAATACAGCATGAAGGATTTACTCCAAAACAGAAAATTGTTTTCCCTCCTCCTCTGGCTTCCTACCATTCTGTTACTACTTCAGACATTTAAATCACCGATTTGACTTTTTACGTTATCACAGCTGTTTTGGGCCCTCCTGTATTAATTAATTAATTAATGCATGCTCCTTTATTAATTAGTTAAGGTATGCTAAAGCCCTTAGAAATGTAGATCTCTGAAGGAACAGCACTGTCTTCTACTTTATTAACATGGAGCTTGAGAAGACTGGCCAGACCCTTCCTTACCCAAAACATGGCAGAAAATAGTTTCAGTGATCCTCACACAGTTTGGGAAGCAGAAAAAATGTCAAGGAAGGAAAGGGCAGTTATCAATAAAAGTAGGAAAAAAATTCAAGTGTTCAATTAATTTCAAAAGTCAGGGAAGAAAAAGTATCCAGCCACCCTGTATTGGCAACTGAGTGAGTCTCTTAAGAAATAAAAAGTTGATTCTGCATATACATATCAGTAACACACTTTCTAAGACAGCCCAAGAATAGACCAATTCTAGTATAAAAAATGACAAGGAGGAAACTGCTTCTGTCTTACCCTAAGCCAACCGAACCACCAGCCTCTCTCCTCTAGTATCACTCGTCACCAAATATAATCTCACCTTTGGGTGAAACTACCATATGGTACAGCAAAGAAACAGCAAAGCTCCCCAACTCCTAATGCCAGTACATTTCCAACTTAAAAATACAAATCCAACACTTTTAGATTTTGGTGAATATATGCCATCAGAAAGTCTTATGGTTCTGCCAGGAATCAGTGTTCATTCTTGTCAAAATAGACCCAAAATAAGGTTCTATAAACAGCAGTGCTATTCCTTGAAAACTGACCACCAAACTGAAAAACAAAGGAAAGATAAAATAAATCAATACTGACTGATGTCCAAATGAAGTAACAAAGATTATCTCAGATCTAGTCTCATGAAAGACAACTTTTCCTTTTTTTTTTTTTTTTTTTTCCCTTTCCATTTAAAACAGTGATAGTGAAAAATGTAGTTGAGGACTCCAGGGATTACTGGGATTCCTTCAGCTGAAAGGGTGTAGCATGATAGCTACAACTTTATTGCAAACCACAAGCCAACATGTAATGCCAACACCACCTGAAAAAGATACAAAACACGATTTAAGTTATTGCATCAATAACCCTGAAGCACACAAACATCTGAAAACAACTTTGGTAGTGTAAAAAAATGAAACTTAAAGAGATACGAGGCAAACAGGAACAAAACATCTTTCTTTTGTATATAAATGTCTCTCTTCAAGGGATGGCAGCTAACTCCATGCTGGTCCTGAGAAAACCTGAGGACTGGGGAAGAAGAGTACCAAATAACATGAACCTGAGACAAAGTGTGGTATATACAACCCACAGTTAAAAACATTTGCCATGTACCTAACAGAAAATGTCTTAGGTGCTGAAGTTAAAGGCTTGGCAAATAACAGAATATTTGGCTAGAACTTGAATTCAAGATTTGAGAAACGTAAAAAGTAAATTTCCTCTGAAATGTAAATAGTCTTTTAAAAAGTACTAAACCCACACGTCTCTCCTTTCCCCTTGCTCCCCACAGAGCTATATAGAAAACCGCTGCTGACACCTTCGCTACCGTCCCAGATGCCTTGCAGAGCTGTTTTAAAGGGTCCTGTCACTCCAACCAGCAGCAATGGAAATTTGTCTCGGTATGATGGAATAAATGCCCCGACCGTAATACACAGCACATCCATATTGCAGACTACACAGTATCACGGAACACGTAGCTATTCATAGCACACAGGTGAAGAAACTACCTTTTTGGTGATTTTTAAACATTTTTGTGCTTATCACCTAGAATACAAAAGCTGTATCTTCACTGTGATTATCGTCCAAGACAAAAAAGGAGATTTGAAGGCAAACATGGATATGAACCTTTTAAAATCCCTTCAAATGCTATTTAAATAAATGTCTTCCAAGGACTGTTCTCCCACCCTACACAGAAACAGGCTCTTCCTCCTTCCCAGTAAGCACGCTGGATACAAATCATTTGCTAGACAGCTACTAAAGATACAACAACACACAATTCCAACAACACATTTTGTAGTTCCTTCTAAGGCAGTTAGGACTTACAAACCTAATATGCAAATTCACCAGCAGCATTTTAGCTTGAAGGTAAATTTCCACACTACATTGTCTCGTCATTCTGCCTGTCTACTTATCCCATTAGCATGGAGCCAGCACACTTCAGAAAAGAAAGTTTCTTCACTTCACTCAGAAACTGATGTCTACAACCTGTGATACTGTTCTGATCATTAATTCGTTAAACTGCCCAAAAGAAAAGGAATTAAGTAGGTGAAAATGCAACAGAAGTGTGATGGGAAAAAGTATGGGAGCAGTCAAGACAAAATGGCAAGAGAGAGCATACATACAGCACTGGGGAGTTACACAACCATGAAACCCCATCAGTTCATAAGAAGCACATGTAAGTGATACAGACCTATGAAGTATTTCCCCATTTTTAAACCCGATTCTACTATTTCAGTGGACTCCTTAATGTAAAAATATTTCTCATTTGAAATCTTCTCCAGGGTCTATTCCATACAGATAAAGATGCTCTGCTTGAGAATAAAAATGACAAATAGCCCATTTCATTGTCAGTTAAATAAACTGAATACACGAGCAACTGCGAATCAAATGCTTGAAACTCTTTCCTGTGTTAAGGGAGTCAGAAGAAACGTACAGAAGCAGTGCTTTTAATCTATGTATGCTCTTCAGCGCCACACTGTTAGCATCTGCACGGGCTTGAGAAATGTATTTTTTCCCGATATGCCGTCCTTACCTGCCACCCCCGTAGGAAAGGCTACCAAGCGCTCCAGCGGAGCAAGCCATTTGCTTGGAAGCACTGTAACTGGCTCAGAATAGTACTTCCAAATCAAAGAGATCATCAACGCAGCCTAGAATTGAAATTTTTATTAGCTTGGATAACAACACACATCAAAGTACACTTCCACCGCTATTGTGAAACAGTAAGTAAAAAATTCTAATTAAAAAGAATAGCTTGTTATTTTTACATTGTTCTTAAGCAAGTTCAAAGTATTTTTTAAACTCAGCGTGACCTTAAAATTATACACAATATTAAGAGGCAGCAGTGAGACAGCATAAAATCCTGTTTGCTTCTGAGATCCTGGTTCCAACCTAGCATAGACAAACGCAGTAATTGTTAAATTCTGATGACTATTCTTAGCCATAACCCTTGTCTGCTAGGAATCCAACTTGCTTTAAGTTCACCCTAAGGACATCTTCAGGTTGACCACCGTGATCCTTATTAGCAAACAATTTTTTGGCATCAAGTCTGAACTACAGAGACAATCTAATGAGGCACCAGGGGGAAATGTGTGGCAGCTGTAAGTGCAGATTTGCATCCTCAGCAAAAGCATATTTTGTTTTCAAAGATGTAAGTAAAATATATTTGCATGCCTTGGAACTTTCCTGGGTCCGGTGACATATAAAAATGGAAAAAAAAAACCTCAGCGATTAAAGAGCTAAGACAAACTCCTATCTTGTCATCTTAAAACCAGAAACGCAGGGCTGAAATGGAACTTGAAACTCCTTCTATCCACAACTACCAGACCTTATCAGCAACATCTCTCCCTTCTATTTCACAGAACTCTTTGAGTTTGACATGTGCTCTGTCACTGGAATGTCAAACACCTGTGTGACTAATCATCAGCCAATAAATTCAGGAGAGAACTGTAACACTGCTGAGGCATTGGTTTAGTAATTTGTATTCATAATAAAATATTTACTTACTTGTAAGATGTAGAATACAATATTTATAACCCACTTTATTTTGGCTAATTGGGCAGTTCGTGCTTTCACTGTTAAAAGAAAAAAATATTACCCTGCATTATTTTTAATAGTGAATTAAACTTACATAAAACTAGAAATTTATTAATATTTCAGTCTTCAAATCAGGCCACTACACTGTTTAAAAATCTCTTTTCAAATGACTCATAGCTATATTGAAAGTACCCTTCTGCAAGAAAGTGATAGATCCGTATCACACCATAGTTTCTTATTAACACTACCATGAAATTTTCAAACCACTGATATGCTAGACAGAGAAATGGCACACGTAATCAAGAACACTATTCCCAAATGAAAACAGGCATTGTGCTTACTAATTTAAGAACTTGCTTTAGATGAAGGATAAAGTAAATTTTTCCCTTTCCTAAAAGGGGAGACTGATGGCTTTAGCAGATGCACTTTTTGCCTTATTTCATTCAGACACACAGTTAAGACTATTTCTTCACGGAATGAATCTCAGTCAGGTTCAGTATTAATACTTCTTTCTCATGCCTGTTTTTCTCATTACAGTACCTTAGACTAATATACAGAAGCCCCTGTGAAGACAGCACATTTTCAAATGTGACAGTGGCCTAAAGTTCTCTAAAACGTTGCTGGTTGCTAAGTAAATGACTCAAATCTAGTTTAACTGAAATTACTGGGTTAAGAATTATAGTACTGAAAGCAATCCAAAACTGCCAGTTTTAAATATTGTCTTTTCTCCAAGCAAGGAGCCTATAAACATCCATCCATTCTGCACAGAGGAGGCAGACAAAGCAAGCAGTCCTACCCTGTTAGGATCAGTCAGTGAGCCTGGGCAAAGAGAAGAGCCAAAGCTCCAGTGCCAAAGGTTTACGTGTACTTTCTACCAGGAGATGATGGACTGTACTACTATAAAATCCTCATCGAGGCAAAGCACTACGGCTTTATTGCAAAAGCTGCTTCATAAGATCAAACAGGATTGCAAAATAACAGGAACGATCTCATATGGTTACGTTACAGATCAACGCTTTCTCTCTAGCGCTTTGTAATACAACAACCAAATAGCCCCAACCAAGCAACTCATCCTTCTGTGGTGAAGATACACAGCGGGGGACTTCCACAACTTACTCAAAACACGATTCAGTAATGAGCATCACTGAGATACACTAGATAATTACACAGTGAAGCCCAGGAAATTCCTTGCAAGAAGAATTTTATAGCTAAATCACTCCCTTATCAGTGTATGCAGAACTATGCACAACTGAAAGACAAAAACAAGCTCTCTGAAAAGTTTAAAGAGAAAAAAAAAGAAAAAAAAAATAAGGGAACACTGGAAATAGATAAGAAGGGGAGGGAAAAAGTTGATGTAGAACTATACTTAAAATGGAAAACACTCTTGATAAAATGTTTTTCAGAAACTAGAAAAGGCAGTAAAGATTGCACTCTACCATGAGTTTTAAGCTTGTCAGTCATTTTGTTAATCTTTCTTTCCAGACGGGCATATCTAGCAAACTCATCCATCATACTAATGGTTGAGAGTTCTTGCTTCATGTTCTGAATTTCAGCTCTCATTTGGGATTCCTGCTCTGCATCCTTTTGTAACAATCTGGATATCTGAGAAGCAAGAAACAGTATCAGTTATTTATCCAGAATTCCACTGATTTTCTTTTATATGTATAAAGTACGATCTCCTGTTTACATACTCAAAAGCCTCCCATAAAACAAGGCCCTTTCATCAAGACACAGGAAAACCTTGGCTTTACATCTGCAACATGTTCTAAAAGCTAAATAATTTTCAGGCTCTTGTTCCGACTGAAGCAAACTAAAAAGGGTTTTACCATCCCTTCAGGGCAATGATTTTTCAGCTTTTCTAACTATGGCCTTTTCCTTCTCTATTTCTGATTTCATCTTCTTATCTCCCCTTCTGAGACCTTCCAAACCTCCAGGGCCCTGCCTGCTGCTGCATCCGGAGCTGAAGAGCTGTCCTCCCTCCTTGCAGTCCTCATCACACACTGCTTGGGTGAGAAGCCCCCCAGATCTGCAGGAGAGGAAGGACCAGAGGAAACACTCCTTTTCATTACTACCTTTCCAGCTCCAGCAATGCCCCTTACTCATTCATCGTTCCCATTTCCAGCTCCAGCAGCCTTAGCAAGGGTCTGAACTCATTAATCTGGAAACTTTATTCACTGAAGCCCAGTTTTACACCTCATCAATAATGCATGGCTGACCAGTCAGGAATCACTCCTGGAAATTATGGGTTGCCTACTCCGGGCTCTTAGAAACACACAAGCTGCTGTACTGGTTGAGAGTTGTGATTCACATAGTGCAGGATTTTACCACTGCGTCAAAAACAGAAACACAAATTTGCATTAGTTATTTTTCTTACATCTTAGCCATGAGTTTAAATGCAGTTTTCTGATAACATCTTATTGGTTTCTCGGCTGAAATTATTTTCTACTGACAGAAATGTAAAAAGCCAATCACATACCACCCTAGGAAACATTTTCTACCCTTCCTTTCCTACTTTATTTTCTTAAGGCACCACCTGTTTGTTGGTTCACAAACTCCTTTTGCCATAGAAATGAAGATACAAAGAACATAAAGCCTTCTTCTTACTGTTCCTTAGCAAATCGTTTTAGCTTTCTCAAGACACATGTAATTTTTTCCCCACAAATAATGTTCTCAGTACTGTAGTGAATGAGAACATTACACCACTTTGTCACAAACCACGGCAGAAAGTTAAGGTTAGATTTTCATTAGTCATCCGTAGTAACATCGAGCTCAGTTTCCCAAATTGCCAAGAGTAACTTAGGTTTTAAAGGATTTTTATCCATTATAAAACAGCGTGCACTGATCTGTGCGACAGTGAAGTTACCGACGTGGAAGAGCAGAACAGTAAGTATTTTAGCATGCTTGTTCACATGCAAGTTTATTTGGCAGTCATAGACTTTACTGGTCGGTAATTCTGTTCTCCACACCTTCACAAAAATGCTTGAGATCGGACCAGGGGGGGAATCCCGATTAGTGATTGTGACTTAATGTTTTCTCCTAACTCCTTCATCTCTGTATCCACTGATCTCTCTCTTCGACAGAGATGCCCATCTGTTGAAAACATGGAAGACTGAACAAAGCTGTCCTTCATATTCCCTACAATGTCCTAAGGGCTGGAGCCTCAGTTAAGACACTGATAACTCATTACCCAGGACGCTGCTTCAACAGACGTGCTTAATGGGGGCTCTTAGAGTCGCCCACTGTCACGGTGTTCGGCGTCACGATCCCCAGCCCAGCCCCCCCCCCCCCAGCATGAGCCCCTCAAGCTTTTTCTGTTCTCAGGCGAGGAGCAGGACTAGGCCCTGCTTGTCACAGCCGGGGATGCGTCACCGGCACCGCTCCCCACTTCACCTCATCTCTCAGCTGTCAGGCGGGGATGGGGGGGGCGGGTGGTGGTGGTGACGCCACCTCCCCAAAACGCCGGGAGCTCCGCCAGAGGTGCCCGTGACTCCGCCCGTGACGCCCTGCCCCGCGGCCTCAGCTACCCAAGAGCCGGGCACCCGCCCCCGCTCTGCCCCGGCGGGCAGAGGCGAGAACCCGCCCGTAGCCCCGCTGCCCCGATTTTGTAACGGCCGCCATTTCCACACACAGCCCCCCCCCCCCCGCCTTACGACGCCCGCCACGGGGCGGGGCGGGCGCGGTGACGTCACTTACGATGGAGGAGCAAGAGGGCAGGAGGATCTTGAGAGCGTTGCAGAGGAAGACGGAGCTCAGCACCAGCAGCCAGGCGCCGCTCTCCGCCATGCCAAGCGCCTCCGTGGGCGGACACGCCCCACGCCCCCCCCCCCCCCCCCCAACTCCCGCCGCTAAGGCGCGGCGCCCCCGCGCACGTGGGGCGGCAGGCGGGTGCCTGTGTGAGGGGAAACGGGGACATGTGGGGTCACGTGATGGGGGCTAGCCAATCACGAGTCAGCGTCCCGTGTCTGTCTCTCCCCCTGCCCCGGCAAGGGGAGGTGGCGGTTAGGTAAGAGACCCCGCCTCGCGCGGGAGACGGGGAAGGGGCGGGGCGGGGCGTGCGCCGCTGCCGGTCGGCCCCGCCCCTCGGGGCGCCTCGCGGGGAGAGGGGCGGGGCCCGGCGGCCGCCGGAGAGCGGGGAGCGTCCCCCCGCCGTCGCCCCCTCCCACTCCCCCCCCCCCCCCCACCCGCCAATCCGGCTGGATCCTGTTGCGGTGCCGCTGGCGCTGCTGGGATGGTGGGGGGGGGGAAGAGGGGGGGGACGGTTTCCCTGCGCAGCGGGGCTGGCTCGCAGGCAGCCGCAGCGGCTCGCCGGGAGGCACCCAGCGCGCGCAGCAGCCGGGCGGGAGCCGCCGCCGCCGCAGTACCGGAGGTCGCTGCCGAGAACCGCCGCGCAGGCTCGCCATGCCGAAGAGAAAGGTGAAGCGGGGCCGGGAGCGAGCGGAGCCGCCGACGAGGAGCCGCGCTGTTCCGGCGCGGCCCCGCGACACCGTGTGTGTGTGCGTGGAGCTGGGGTGTGGGGGGGTGACGGTCTGACCGCGCGGGGACGGGACTCGGGAGGGAAGCGGCCGCTCCGCTGGGGCCGGCGCCTTCCCCTCCGTACCCCTTGGCGGGGGCCCCGCTGGGGCGGGGAGGGCCGGGGCGGGGGGCGGTGTTGTCTGGAAGGTTCGGCGGGGGCTCTGCGGGCGCGCCTCGCCTCTCCGGGACTCGAAATCCGAAAGCAGCGGCGGGAAAGGGGCGGGCGGGCGGCGTCACGTGCCCGCGCGCTCCGCCCCGCGCCGCCTGACGCGCGCTGTTTGTGTTGGCAGGTGACGGTGGCGGACGGGGAGGCCCCCGAGGAGGTAGGTGCCCCCAGGGGTGGGGGGGAGAGGGGTGTCGCCCCCTCACGCCCCCTCACTCCGTTTCTCTCTCTTTTCCCCCGTCTGTAGCCGAAGAGGCGATCGGCGCGGCTGTCCGCTGTGAGTACGGGGGTGGGGGGGGGTGTCTTCCTGCACCGAAACGGGGATTTGCCCAGGGCTGAATCTCTCCCTTACCTGTTCTTCCTTCTCAGAAACCTGCTCCTGCCAAAGCGGAGCCGAAGCCAAAAAAGTTATCGGCAAAGGTGAGAGCCACGGGGAAGAGGGGAGGGAGGGGGAGGCGGTCGAGCTCGTTGTTGTGCGAGTGCCTGCTGGCGTCCCGGTTTACGCCGCCGGCGTCTGGGCGTTTTTACTCGTTTCGGCGTGTTCCTTGTGGGAACACTCGTTTAGCTGAAGTATCGTTTTCGGGTGCTTCTGCCGTCCGCCACAGTTTGAGAAGATCCTTGTCAGGCACTCCGAAATACCGCACGGGAGTGGGGGCACCGATTCATGGGCAATAGGAGGTGGTTTGGTACTGAGCAGAACTACTCGAATGTCGAAGCAACTGTGCATAGGGTTGCGTTTCATCCTTGTAACAAAAGGGGATGAAATACACTCACAATTTAAAGCCGTGTGTTAGGACAGGAAAAAAATATTTTAATTACTTAGGCAGCCACTTAAAATGGTCCGAGCTTCCGTTCACATAGCCCACCTTTCGGGTCTTTGTGTGTATGTGTAAGTAAGCGTAGTTTAGTGTAATCTTTCAGTTTTTCAGTATGGCCTTTGCAGTGCCAGGAACTGAGGTGTAAAATTCTTTGTTTCTTGGGAGAAATAAAAGAGGCAGTCTATCTGTTGCCTGGTTGATATATGTGTTTTCAAGTGTTCCTTTGTGATTACAAGCTTTTATTTTTATTGGATGGATTAAGAGCATTTCAAATACACTCTGCTTTGCAGACTTTTTGATGTTTTAATTTTATTAATCCTACTAAACAGTTATGTGTCAGTAATGCACCCTCATTCTAATGGTTTTAGTGTCAGTGCACTCTCATTCTTGAAGCTGTAAGCCTAAAGAATTTGGGAAAGCTTTCCAATTTTACTTCAGTTCTGCTTCTCTTTTTTTCCAGTGTCTTCATGTGGTGCATCTAATTCTTAATGCTGCTAGTTGATGCTGACTGATAGGTGTGATACTGACTTGCTGCCTATAACTACTTTACTTCTAGAAAGAAACATTTCCACAGCTCATAGCTGCAAACATGTTCAAGTAAACCAAGTACATCACCAACAGTTATCATCTTAGAATATTAAGTAGAACACCTTGCTCCTCATGGAATGCTGCTGTAATGTGAATACGTGAACAATCTTTTTTTAATCGCTATTACCATTGGCAAGTCAAATAAATGTTGTTGTGGTTTAGACCCAGGACAATGTATAATGAATTTTGCGTTTGATCATCTTTGTAAAACTCATGCTGTCACTAAAATTTTCTGTCACTTGGAAACATTGTTAATGTAAAAGTCTCTTTTCTTCTGATTGTGTTTTAATTCTCCAGCTTCAGTACTTTCTCTCATTTTAGCTGTCTCTGAACTTCCTTTAAATGGATTGCAGAAGTATTTCACTGTTATATACCAGTCAAGTGATAGTTTTTAATTTTAAAAAAAATATTTTTTCTGTATTCGATCCATCAAAATATGCTTTGCATCAACTTTGTAACTTTTTAAAACTTTCCTGGCAGTATGTTTTCTGGTTGGGAGATGTTTGCTCATTATGGAGTTAGTGTTTTGTTTTGTTTTTTTTCATTAAGTATTAACGAAGAAAAAAATATTTTGACAATCAAAACACAGAAGTCTACATGTTGTGAAATTGTGTCTTACCTGAATTTGTAATACTGAGTTTGGCCTTTATAACTTTTGAAAAGGATTTTTTTTTTCCCATTAGCATGTTTCAGCTGTTTTCTCTGTGCTCTTAAGGATTTAAAAATAGGAGCAAAGGCTTTCTAAAGTTTTGCAGACATTAACGATTTAGCTACCTGACATAAGATGCTTCAGGCTTGTTTTTTTTTTTTTTTTTTCACCTTGCATCTCTTGTATATGTAATGTAACTTACTGCATGTTTGGGTAAAGTACTTAGAATTTTTGCTCAATAGTCGCAATTGGTTGACAAAACTCTATTTTCATGACAACAGTATTTTATATGAGCATTCACATAAAATAGGAAATATATTCAGCTAGCTATTAAAAAGTTGCATGTGTGAAGTAAGGAAGAATGCTTAGAGTGAAGATAGTGTGGAATGCTTCTGACCAGATGGTTTCTAATAGTAATCTGAGATACGCATTTCTACAGTACTTAAAATATGCAAAAATTAGAACTTTATTTATTGGAGTGGAAGAGACAACAAATTATGACATAGTTTGAAGAATATATTTAGGAAATGCACACAGTATTTTAATGGGATTAGACACATTTTGATGTAGATTGGTGTGGTGGCCTTCTGCTTAGAGGTATAAATGCATTATGTTCTCTTGCCACTTACTCACATTGTACCTGCCCAGGAAGAGTGTTACAGTTTGTCATTTATTAAAAAGTTTTGTTAGTATCGTAATGTTTGACAAGTAGTGTCAAAACCAGTGCATTTATGTAATTCTGAATTGATAGAAATATTTTGTAAGTAGGGGCACCAGCTGGAGGACAGGCAAACTTTGTAGCATTTGGTTGCTGTAAGGAATGTCTGGGAGGATGTGTTACATATTTATATGAAAGTAGCTCTTGAAGAAATTCTTCTTCCCTACCCACTTAACAACAGTCTTGTAGGTACAGAGGATGTGACTGAGATACTAGCAAAGGAGTGCTGAGAATGATACTTCTAGGTGATGTATTTATTTCAAGTTTGGTTACTGAAATTCCCGCCTATCAATCTAAGAGGAAAAAGAATGTTTGAAGTGCTCTGTATTTACAAAGTGAAAAGACTGCATTAGAATTTTGTTATGCTCGGTCTAGTCATTAGAATCTAGTTACCTTTTCATCCTAGTTTGATTCCCTCGTTTTACTATCTGAAACTGTGATTTTTCTAAACTATATGTAGAGAAACACTTTTTTCGCAGTTGGACTATGTATTAACTCATTGGTTGGTGGTAGTAGCTCCTGCTGTTTAGCAAGTCCCTCTTCATTTTATGTGTTTTTTATTATTTTAAAAGTTTACCTAGTAGGTGTAGCTCATTGGAATTTACTTACTGGACACTTCTTTCATTGTAGGATAAATCTGAGGACAAGAAAGCTCAATCAAAGGGGAAAAAGGGGCCTAAAGGAAAACAGACAGAAGAGACAAACCAAGAACAGACAAAGGACAACTTGCCTGCAGAAAATGGGGAAGCTAAAAGTGAGGAGGTAAAGTTGTCTGTACTTGGTGGAAAGCAGCCGGATAAATTACTGTATTGAAACATTACTAGATATACCTGGAAAAATGTAGTTGCCCCAAAAAGAGTTTCAGTGATGTGGTAGCAGTTTCTGAAATTAAGGAAGAAGGTGAGAATTTTACCAAAGTTCCAGTACAGGGTAATGTCCTGCAGAGAGGGGCCGTTTTCCCTGTGGGTAGGCCTCAGCAAAACAGTATGTACAGGGTATAGAGAGGGGATATTGCTCTGTGGGTGTGGGGGGGTTGTCTGTCTTCAGAGGGTTTGATTTGGGTTTTTATCTGCCTTTGCTGTTACTGGAAGAGAGGTTCCTTCTTGCCACAAAAGTTCTCTGACAAATGCAATATTCATTTTCTTGGGCATGGAAACAGTTTTCACTGAAAACCCAGAAAGTTGAAATGATTTACCCAAAGTTAAGTTAACATTTATAGGAGTCATAGTTACAGACACTGGTGGTAGAAGAGAAAGTGCAAGAACTGCTAACGGTTGTTGTTGCTGAAGAAATGAACATGCCAAATCAGTCTTGGCTGTAATACTGTGCTAAAATGGCTATGTTGCTGAAGTTTTTTGAATCACTGATCATCTAACTTAAAACATCTTCTATACTGAAAAGTGGGCATAATTTGTTTTAAAATTTAGGACAAGATCTGAGGGGAGAAGCAGCTAATAGGACAGCTGCTAACAACTGGATGAAACAAAAGTTTTCATGTGGTAACAGGCCTAGAATTAGTCTCAGGTTTCTGCAGTATTGAATGCCTAATTTTCATTAGTTCAGTGGAGTTTGCTGATGAGATAGATGATTTTTTTAATTTAAATGTGTGATTCATGCTTCCCGTCTGGTTGTTGCATTGAAAAGTAATTTTTTTTTAAGATAGAAGTCTATCTGTATTCTCTGTCACACTGAGCTATCAGTGTGCAGATAGATTTTTCAAGTAGAGGAAAAGGGTATTTGGTTTTTAGATGGGGTGAGGAAGGTACAGGATGGTACCCGAGTGTACAAGACAACTTACTTTGGTGTAGCAGTTTTTCATTTGAAAGCTTAAAGTGTAATCTTTGTGAAAAAGTTGTGCTGTAACTAGGAATTGGCTTAACTTTCTGTGTAGCTCTGGCTCTGTATTACTTTCTCATAATTTGGTCTTTTAATTTGTGCACGTAGAATTTCAGCAATACCAACAAAAGTTAAATTTGGCAGTATTTCTCAGCTGGAGCCTGTTTAGTACACTAGTGGAGAGATGATGTAAATGTACAAGGAATGGATGATGACTTAGGGGCACGTCTTCATGCTGCCTCATGTTGGTCACACCAGCCCAAATGGCAGGTTTAGTGTAACAGCTGAGTCTAGAAGAGGCAGAGGTCTTGCCTGTCCTGTTGGATGTTACTGTCTGCAGTCGGGACAACAGCATCAGCGATGCTGTTGTTAGTCCACGGTCTGGTGAAAGGCCAGCAACGACTTGTGGTGGCACTCGCAGAGACTAACGCCAGCGACTGGAAATGGCCTCTGTGCTTCATCCTTCGAAAGCTTCCCCCAGGTGGCAGTAAAGACTGGGCGGGTGGTAGGGTTCCTGTTTGGGTACTGCTGTGATTAAACAGTCTGCTCTGCTGGTGGTGGGGCAAAGCTTCGGAATAATTGAGTCTAATTTTTATGTTAACACGTATGTTACGTTCCTTTTTTAAATCTACATTCCAAATGCAGCGAGGTTTACGATCTAAATGGAGTTGTAATTTTAATCAGTTAAGTCGGTATGAACTTGTTCTGCCGTTGAGGTACAGCACATAGAGACTTGACTTGAAAACAGTATAGCTCTGCTGCTACAGTTCAGTTTCACTGAATGTATTTTTACAAAATTATGTTTAATTTAATGCAGTACTGTGTTTTTAAGTCTTAGATACTTCAAAACATGGTAAGATTTGAGACTATGTTAACAGTGCTGCACTGAAACTTAAATGCATGAAGCATTTCTGTAGTGTTTTTTCTAAACACCCGATATGTAGGGATTTGAGCTTAGTAGGTTAAAAAGCCCTCTTTTCCTGTCATAAAGTCAGTGATTATTGAAATGGGCTTTGTTCTTCAAAAAAAAATAAAAATCTTTTACAGTGAGTATTGAGTAGTAAATGTAGCAGCACTCTGAAAGTCATCCTGATGCATCTGAGGAGACAGCAGCCTTTTCAAGACAGCTTGTTTTTACTGGGTCATTATCCAAGAGAAATAAGCAGACCGTGACACCGGTTTATTAAAACTGTAAAGCATGGTGTGTAGAAACACATTGTGGTTGTTCTGTATGTCAAGTTAGCTAGCTTGTACGTTAATACTATGAACTAAGAGACTGAGTCACTTAGAAACTTTCTGCATTGAAGTGTTCTGGTTTTTTTTGTCTTCCTTTCAGACCCCAGCATCTGAGGCAGCTGTAGAGAAAGAAGCTAAGTCTGAATAACATCTGGTACGGAGTCTTTAATTGGTGGTCCTTATACCTTTCTTCTTGTACAATTCAGAGGAATATTTTTATCAACTATTTTGTAAATGCAAGTTTTTTAGTAGTTCTAGAAAACACATTTTTAAAAAGGAGAGAATCCCAACTCAACCCATTTTTTTACATATTTAGATAAGTGTAAATGCTTTTTTTAAGTGGTAAAATCATGTACTGGTTGTCTGTTTTCTATGAAACCAGAAATTAATGGCATGTTACATTAAGGAGAGGGCTTTGAAGCCTTGATTAGGCTTCACGTTCCATAGACTGAGGGACAGTTTTTCTATCCTATTAAATGAAGCATAACACAGATGAGACTTTGGAATTCATAATGATATGTTGAGGATGTCTTAACATTTTAGTTATTTATCTATGGTTGTACCATCAGTAGAATTGCTTATCTAATAAAACTGCTCCCTAGTGTTGGATTTCTTGCTGAGTGATACATATCTGTGACAAAGTTATTTTTGGTAGTTGCAGCTTTATTTTTTCCAACAACTTTGTAGCTGTGATGCGAAAGATTGGAAACTTTTATTATCTTTAAATACCAAGTAAAAGTTTCTGCTTGGCAGACCTAAGTTGTTATGTCAGTATTTGAGATCTTGGAATTTCACATCCAGTTTTAAAGGACAGCTTGTCTACAAAGATCAAACAAAAAATAATTGAAATAGTCTTAGGAAAAAAAAACAAACAGAATTATAATTTTTAGATTAAAAAAATCTATGTGAATAAAAAGAATTGTAAAATTGTTCATAGTGTCTGTGATCACTGACCAAAAGCCAAATAAATCTTAATTATGAAAGGAAGTTTCTGTAGCTCCTGCATTGACTATGACAACTCACAAACTAAGCGGTGTAGTTTTTGCATCTTAACCAGGTTCTTAATATTCTTAAAAATGTACTTTTCAAGACAAGTGGTAATGCAGGGAGTGAGTAGCAAGTTAGAAAACTGTAGTTGCAGCTTCAATCTGGGCTTCCAGTTTGAAAGCTGATAGCCTAGTGCTTAAAAAAAAAGTCAGTAATTAGTAAGCATCAGATGTTTTCATCTGTTTGTCATCTAAGAGTTTGCATACGCACTCTTGTGTAAAGAGCTGCTACCGGGAAGATGCACAAAGCAAACCTCTTGAATGTTAATTGATCAGATGGTGTTGCTGTCGTTGGATCTGTATTGGAATTTCCCCAAATCCTACCTTAACATCAATAAAGCTTCAGGTGTCTGGGGAAAAATGAACCTAAGCTGTGACCTTCCCCAGATAACTGAGTTTCTGTACTGGAACCCACAGAGGATAAGCCATGGGACAGCCTGGGCAGGAGCAGGGAAGGAAGCACGAGGAAATTTCGCTTTTGGTGCCGCTGAGCTGTTAGGTGAGCTTCCTGTGCTGTGAGCAAGCATACCCCCTATATAAGGTTGCAGGTTGACAGAGTATTCAAATAAAACATACCTGTGCTGGGAGCTAATTCATGTAATACAAAACTGCCCTGATTCTTCCTTGCTGTATTTGAGAAAATCAGCCTTGTTGAAGATTTAACAGCCTTTCATCAGAAGGGGGCATCTTAAGTATATCTTACTTAAATTTAAAATAAAAAAGTCAGATCTACTACAACATTGTTTCAGTTCTCCCACAGAGTGCAGGGTTGTTTTGTTTTGTTTTGTTTTTTTCCCCCCATTTCATTTATTTTGCTGAATTGCAGCAGGTAGTAGTATGATTTTACTTTACCAATCTATTTGATGCTGGTCAGATCACTGTCAACCTTGTCTTGGGAGGCATCAAGATCAAAAAGTAACGTTAATATTTTTGTTTCATTTTTTTTTTTTCCCCCTTGACTGAGAACTTGTTTATGCTCTTATGTAACACCTGCAAGCACAGTATCTGCTTCCTGTACATTTTTGGTGCCTTTTTTAAATCATTACAGTTATTTCTATAAAAAACACTTCAGTTTCACCTCTAATTTTCTTAAACAGTGCTTTCATTTGAGAAAGCATCTTACCATTTTTATCTCTTCAATATTTAAGCGATGTTTAATTTCTCTTTAGCCTACATATAGGATATCCCCCAGCCCTGGACCACCCTATGATTCAGGTCCATTTCCACCACAGCTGAGTTCTAGCAGAGTGCACCCGGCTTTGGCAGTGGCTTTGGCTTCAAGTTCTTGGATATTCCAAAACTGTAAATTTATGCCAGTTTTTCTAACCCTGCTCTGCCTTCCCTCCCAACACCTCTTCCGGTTACCTTATTTCTTGGTTTAAATTAGTTAGTAGCGTGACATAGCTAAATGACCTTCTTTACTTTCTGTTTTTAGCAAGTCAGAAACACCAGTTAAATTAAAAACTTTCAGGTGAATACCCCAAAATAACCTCTCTCACCTCCTTTTACTGAATGCCTACTCTTCATGTGTTTTGAGTCTCTGATGTTGAGATCCTGTTAACTTTCAACACCTTCTCTCTAGCATCTATTATCTGCTGTTTAATTTAGTGTAACTGCTCCCTAACATTTACTCTTGGGGACAAAAAGTTATTTCTTTATTAGGGAAGTGAAAGGACTCAGCAAGGGTCAATCCACAGCCGCTTCTCTCACTGGCCAGAGGAATTTCCATGCCAGAAGAAGGAAAGGACAAAGGTAGTTGCATCAAGGGGCACAGGAGCCCTAGGTCTCTTTTGGGCAGCACAGCCCACTTTGATGCAGTAAACAATGAAACAGACCTAATTACATAAAGTATGACTAGTAAATACGTAGGTGAATCAGCTATAAATTTGGATCAGTTCTGTAATAGACATGTATTATTGCTCTTTTCCACATAGCATGAAATGCCAACACATAACCGTAAAACCCAACCAGTTTGGCTACTGGAAGAATGAGGATTGTATATATTGGCACTAGATAACAATTCTGCCCTGGGAGAGTTGGAGCAGAAGGCGTTTCAATTCGCCTGACGAGTTTCCATGGGCATCTTTCAGAAAGAGCATTCTTTCCCGTGTGACAGCAAATACGTTTGCTCTGTGCTACTAAGGAACAGAGTGACAGCTAATGCAGACCAGCACTTCAGAATACATACGGAACGGAGAGCCACCCACTTCAAAATACAACATGAAGAGAACAAACCATAGTTCTTTGAAGTTAAGTCAGGCACGCTCGCGCGCTGCTGCTAGTTGTTCTGGTTAAGAGAGTGCTGTTTCACACGCGCTCACACTGCACCATTCCGGAATTCATCTTCTAGTGTCAACTAGATCACAGCTCTTTAAAACATGAACGCAGCCGGGATGCTGAAGTGCATCCAAGTTTAGCTAATGAATGCTGATATGTTCAGCAGTGAAAACTGGGGGAACGCAGGTGGCCTTTAAGAATGGTGCGGCTGAAGCTTGCAACAATACAGGAAGCGGAAAACTGTGGTCAAAGAGAGATTTTTTATGGGCAGGATACCTATTTTTCTCTTGTACCTGAACCATGGTGCCGGAGCACTGTCCAGGCAGGAGGCGGTGAAGAGCAGGAAGCACAAGTCTGCCTTCCAGGACACATGTGGGAAACTGCCTGCGGCCCGGCCTGCACCTCAGGTGTACAAAAAATTTGTCAAAAGCTGAAAGAGCATCTGAGGTAGTGAGATTAATAAAATACACGCATATTTCTACAATGAGATGTAAAAACATTTTACTTCAAAGACTCTAAAAATGCATACCAAACCGCCACAGGTGAGGAATGTAAAATGAAAGAAACAGCTCTGCTTTAAAATACAGCACGAGTGTCGCCATTGCTATATTTACATTAGAATTCATGCTGGGCAGAGGTGAGAAACAACTGTTAAGAAGGGGAAAATTAAAATTCCACACGGACAGGCTCCCAGTGCTGGGGCAGGGTGGAGGTGGTGCTGGCCGCCCTTGGCGGGGCGGCTGGGAGGGCGATGCCAGGGGCACGATGCCTTCCTGGGGAGGGGCGGGGAAATGCCGCTCCCTCCCTCAGCGGCGGCGCGGGGGAGCCGCGGTGGCACAGGAGGAGCGGGGCGACCCGCCCGCGGCGGCGAACCCGAGCCACGTCGCGTGTGAAAACACTAGTGGGTGACGCGGCGGTCGCAAACGCGCTCGCCGCTTCCAGCCGAAGCGCCGGGCCCTCAACGAGCGGACGGACGGGCAGACGCGCCGCGCGCCCCCGAAATGGCGCCCCGTGGCACCTCCCCCTCCCCCTCACGGCGCGGCCCCGCCCACCGGCGCTGCCTCACCAGCCGCCTTCCTCGCGCAATCCTTCCGCGCCGGGTCCACCCGTTCACCCCCCCTCGTCCCTCCCCCCCCGCCCAACACCACCACCGCGCGCCTTCTCCCCCGCCCTCCCTCCCCGCGCGTTTTCCGCTGCCACACGCGCACCCTCTCCCCACCCCTCCCCGATCCGCGCGAGCCCCGGACGGGGAGGTGGGGACGCACGGACTACTTTTTTTTTTTTTCCTCCGCCCACCCCGGGCGTGCCCGGCGCAGGCGGCAGCGACGGCGCTACGGCCCGTGTCGCGCGGCGGAGATGGCGGCGGCGCCGCCGAGGCTGCGCTAAAGCGCCAGCGGGGGGAGGGGAAGGGGGCGGGGAGCCGGAGCGCGAGCGCGAGCGCGAGCCGGGCGTCCGGCGGGGGCGGGGGCGGCTCGCTCCCGCGCGCGGAGGAGCGGGGAGGGGAGGGGGAAGACGCGGGGAGGGAGTTGGGGGGGGGGGAAGGGGGCGGCTGGCGGTGGGGGAGGGGCGGCGCTGACAGGGCTATGCCGAGCCGGGCCCTGCCCGCACCAGGCGCTGACTGAGCCCTCAGCCCTCAGCCCTGCCCGGGCGGCGGCAGCACCAGCAGCAGCCGCCGCCGCGGCAGCCGCCGCCAGCAGCGATTTGTGCCGAGCGAGCGGCAGCCCGCCGCGCCGGGGCCGCCATGGCTGAGCCCCCGGCCTCCTCCAACTCCGCCGGCGGCGGCGCGTCCCTGCCGCTCGTTGAATCAGGTAAAAACCCCCGGGGCGCGAGCGGCCGCGGGCCAGGGCGAGAGCTCCTGCCGGGGCCGCCGCTCCCCTGCCGCCATCTTCCTGACCGGGATGATGAACTACCGTCCCTCCGGGGGGCTCCCCCGGGCTCATCCCCCGGCTCTCCCCGTGTCTCTTGCAGAGCTCTACTTCCTCATCGCGCGGTTCCTGAGCACCGGGCCCTGCCGGCGAGCGCTGACGGTGAGTACGGGGCCGCCGCACGCTCACCTGGGCGCAGCCGCCCGGCGCCCCCGGCCGCTCGCCGCCGCAGGGAGGGCTGAAGGGGAGGTGTGAGCAGCCGGTCCCCCCCGTTCCTCCTCCCCCTCCCGAGCACGTTTGCGGCAGCGGCCGCTGGAGAAGCCGGAGGCTTGCTCGTCCCGGACTCTGTATTTTGTCTCTTTTTCTCTGCAGGTGCTGGTGCAGGAGCTGGAGCAGCACCAGGTCTGTGTGGGCTTTGATGAAGTCACCTCTCTTGCCGTGGTCGAAAGTTTCCCTTACAAGTCATTCAAGTTTCTTCCACTCCAATGCCTCAACTTTTTCCCCTCAACACACGTTGTTTTGGATGTGATCTACCCCTCCTTCCCCTTTAACCGCTTTTTTTTTTTTTTTTTTTTCTCCTTCCACTTAGTTGCTTCCTAAAAGGCTGGATTGGCAAGGAAATGAGCATTATCGAAGTTATGAAGAATTGGTGAGACTTTTTATTAAGAAAAAAAAAAAAAAAAAACAACACTTTTATTTAGGATGATAACATTGATGTTAGACCCTTTACCTTTAAAAGTAGGCCCAAAGCTTTACCTTCCAGTTTCCTTCTGGCTCTGTTAAGACGCTGGAGTTATTT